GGGGTCTGACTTTACACAGAAATGGGCAGAAGCACCATGGGAGGACAAGGTGCTAGGCCTGCAAGTAGGAAGACTGTAGCAGACCAGAAAGGCCTTACGTGTGAGGAAACCAAGGCCTAGGAAAGGATAACAGTCTGCCCCAGAGTCAGCAGTGACAAACATGCTGGTCTCTGGCGTCTACCACTCCTGTACTACGAGTACAGGCTGATTATAATCTTTGGCTCCTCAGCCTGTCTGTCACAAAGGGAAGTTCCCTCTACCTAGCTAGGCTGATGAGCTGCTGGCCTGCCCTGATCCCAGCAGATCAATTCTGAGAGATTCCTCAGGCCTCCAATGTCTGGTGTGTGACTTGAATGGGGTCTGCAGTGCTCTCAAGTGTTTAGCTCAGGATTCTCTCTGCCTAACACAGCATCACTTCTTCAGGACATCAAAACTAGATCAGAGTACAGAGTTTGGGAAACTGTGCATTTGCTTTTTCTCCATAGAGATTTCTCTCCTATTTTAATATAGTCATGAAAGCCTGTGCCAGTGAGAAAGGTAGCCCTCTTGTTTACACAGAAATCCCCCAGGGCCTCCAGACCAGAACTGGCTCTCAAATCCTTGAGCTCTAACTGTTCAAGCTAAGATCCATTGTAAGTGAAGAACATGCTCAGACTGACTGCCAAGACTTAATGTGAGAAAATTCCTTAAAACATGAATTACATGCATGAGGATGGTTAGGGTGTGAGGTGGAGTTAAGTCTCTGTGTTTGACTCTCCCAAGATCTTTTCACAGCTGTAAACAAGGTTATCCTAAAGTTTCTATGGAGAAGCCCAGCAGTGAAAGACATGCCTGTAAGCCCTGCACTGCAGAGGCAAGCAGATATATTGATTTGCGTAGCAAACTGGAAAGTACTGCTGCTACTTCCTGGTCCACGGAACATACTCTAAAACACTGGAGAGAAACTATTTTCTCTAAAAAATTTAATGCCACCCCCTTTTTGTACAAAATAGTATTTTCTATAATTCCTTCTTTGGGGATTTCCTTCTCATTTCAGGGATACATAGTGAGACACTATCTCAACAAAACAATACAAAAAAAAAAAGAGGAAGAGGAGGAAGAATTTGATGGAGAGCCAAAGGAACCATAATATGTGGAACCATCTTTGAAAAACCTTTAGCAAGAAGTAATGAAGCCTCCCAGTAAGGCTAGAGTGGCAGGTTGTCGACTGTGCTTTTCCCATATGGTGTGGGCAGAGTAGCCATCAGAACAGAATAGACAGCTGAGATAGCCACATGAACATAGCCAATGGATTTAATGGTGTATGTTGAAGCGAGGTCCTCTGTATAGTCCCAGCAGACCTAGAACATGTAATTCTTCTTGAAATGCTACAATTACCTACTCACCATGTCCAGATTTGTGGTTCTTTGGTTTGGTTTGGTTTTGAGGATGTGGAGTCAGAGTTAAGTTTTTACAAGTGGATGCCTAGTTATCCCAGCACCATTTATAGGAAAGAAGGCCTTCCGTTCTCCACTGAATCATTTCTATCGTCGTAGAAACTTGGCTGGGCATGTGTGGGTCTGTGCTTATCTATACTGATCTTCATGCTGTCCTTCCCTGCGCAGATCTCCATCAGTATAGCTTCATGGTTAAGCTTGGGGTGAGTAGACTGAATGTTCCCACTAGCATCTTTGTCTTAATTATTTTTTCTGTTGCTGCAATAAAACACCTCACAAAAGTAACTTAAAGGAGAAAGGGCTCATTTGTCTCACAGCTTGAGGGTACATTGCATCATAGTCCTGAAAGCATGACAGCAGGAGCTTGAGGGAGATGTATCCTCCTTCCAGAAACAGAGAGTGAAGAATGCTGGTTCTCAGCTTCTTTTCTTATTTTTGGTCAGCTGAGGACCCCAGCCTATGGAATAGGCCACAGTTAAGGTAGGTTTTCCCATACTTAAGTTATCCCATACTAAACCACAGGCACACCCAGAGGTTAACCTAATCTGGACAGCCCCCTTGCAGTCCACTAGGTAATTCTAGAACCTATCACTTTGAGACTGAAGATTACTGTTACACATGTACCTGGGGCAGGCTATGTAGACACCTGTGTCAGTCTGGGGAAGGTACACCTGGAGTCCACTGTCACCACTAGTTAGATTCAGGAGGTCCTTGACAGACTCTGACACTCTCACTGCATTTGTTTCCCTTGTAGTAGTGGCTCTCTGTCACCATAGCCGTGTTTAGTCGGTCTGCTATGGCTATGGGCCAGGTTTGGGCTACAGATGAGTCAGCTGGAGAGTGTAACAAACCTGCTGGGTCCCAGCCAGCTGCTAGGCAAGTGTCTGAGCATCCAGGCAGAACAGGTACTGCTGCTACTTCCTGATCTATGGAACATACTCTGAAACACTGGAGAGTGACTATTTTCTCTAAAAAATTTAACGCTCCTCCCTTTTGTACAAAAATAATATTTTCTATAATTCCTTCTTTGGGGATTTCCTTCTCATTTTTGGTTTTGAGACAAGCTATTCCTGAATAACCCAGACTGGTGTGGGGATCATAGGTGAGTGTCACTATAGCAGCAGTGTTCCCTTAGAACAGTGTGAGGGTCATAGAAACCCGGAGGCTGGACTTGGCTTTTACAGAGGAGCACGCATGGCACATTAGTAGACAAGAGCAGACCTGGAAAACTCATCACCGTCTGTGACCTCTGCTTAGAAGGTCACTAGAGGCTGTGCTATGGGGACCGGATGCTTCTAGTAAAGAATGCTCGTAAGTGACCAGCTTCACAGCAGTTTTATTGTTCTCCCTTTCCTCTCATGTCAGCATCTTAGGGTTCCTGTCCTTGCACTGCTGCAAGGGGTGGATCTGGAGGCTGGGCTGCTGCCCTAGGAGAAGCATCGCACCACACCTCTGCGCAGATTCGGGCTCCAAAACAAGCAGAACAGAATACAGTCTTTTTCTCTTGCTCCACTCTGATTAGCTTTATCGGCTGTGTTCTGTATCTTGCTGGGATCTAGCTGCAGCTAATGATAGCTTCTTATTACCTGCTCTGATTGCAGAGCCTCTGACCTGAGTGTAGCTGGAGGGTAGAGTTTGGGTTCCTGATGTGGTACATAGACCCTCAGGCTCTTATAATACGTGTTAAGTGTTACCTTTTTTGTTATAGTTGTGTGTTTTACACAATTGTAACGGTGAGTTAAAAGTTTGGGTCCCGGCTGGTGGTACCAGTGGGTGAGAGCAAAGCTTTTAGGATGGAAGAACCTAGTGGAAGAAAGTAGGTCATGAGGAAATGCCCTTGAAAGGGACACTTGCTTCTCAGCCGCCTTGCAGGGAGTGGCTTTGCTCTCCCTCCATGCTTGCACTATGATGACAGGATACGATGATACGCTGCCTCCAGCCAGCAGTGCCAACCACAGACTGAATCCCTGAAGCTGAGCCAGTCCCTTTTTGCTTTCTGCTCAGTGACCAGCATTGTCCTCATCCTGGATTGGAACCCATTTCACATGGTACCCACCTGCCAGGAGTCCTGAGAGCCCAGGCAGAGGCATGGAACTGGGTTAGAGTTAGTAGGCCCTTGAGCCAGCTTCTAGCTTAAATGCCAATTCCAGCAAAAGAAAATGTTGTGCTATGTTTGGTATTAATGTGCTTGTTGTCTTTAACATTTTTAAGCAACGTGGGAAACTTCAAACTTAGACCTCCCTGATTCTGTATAGTACCTTTCTTCTCCCACCTTGATGCTATTGGCCCTTCCCTTCTTTGGTCAGTAATAGCTTGTTCAGCCAGTCTGAGTTTTCACTGGGGCTTTATGCTACCTGTGTCCTAATCTTAAAGCTGCTGGGGTCGGGATGGGTTTGGAGGGCAAGTGAGACTAACATTCAGGAAGCATGTATCGGCTTGCATCCTTTCCTGAGACAGTAACCGGCAGTAGGCACCAGAAAGGCAGAGTGATGGTCAGATGATCAGATGGCAGGAAGGATGTCAGGAGGATTGTAGAGTGGGAGACAATGGGTGCATCTCACCTTGTGTTTCTCTCCAAAATGACTGAAGTAGGTGTTTTTATACCTGTATTAGCTTAGGCATCTGATATCCCAGAACAAGCAACAGCTGTGTTACGCTGTCTGAAACACATTTGATACAGGATGGGTCTGCGGTCTGCTGTCTAGTAGATGGCTTTTGAGGCCACCTTCAAAGGATACATGGAAAATAGAAACAGCTTGATAAAGGTCTACGTAGGAGCAGAACCCACCATGGTGTGTATCAGACACTACTTGTTACCCACTCGGGGTGATAGGGCCTTGACACAAGCTAGGTACTGAAGGACAGATTACCGTAGAAATGACTGTCTGCAAGGAATCCACATCCCAGAGAGGGCGGGCAGAGAAGCAACGACAGTAAGAAAAGTAGCTTCTAAAACAGTGTATATTTTTCTAAATGGCAGCTGCTATGAAACAGTGGGAGTCTGAATTCATGAAGGCCCCTACGAGGGCATTCAAATCCGTTGCTTTTCCTAAGAAACATGGTTACAGTAGGTGAAAACATATTTAAGGTTAAAAAATAAGGATTTCAGTGTTCATTCTCTTAAAAGCACCATGTTATGCTCCTGCACAGGAGCCAGGAGCCTTAGAAGACGTTATCTCTAAAAACTGTTGGGGAGCTGAAGAGATGGCTCAGTCAATTAAGTGCTTGCCAGGCAAGCGTGAGGACCTGAGTTCTAGCCCCAGTACCCACATTTGAAAAGCGGGGCTTGTGGCATGTACTTGTAATCTCTGCACTGAGGAGGTGGAGACAGGATCTCTGATGCTCCCTGGACAGCCAGCTTAGGCTTAATTGACAAACTCCAGGTCCCAGGAAAAGTCCCTGTCTTGGAAAACAGTGGATGGCTTCAGAAGATTGACACCTAAGGGTGACTTTGGCCTTCGCACACAGGTGTATGTACACCTATACACATAGGAAACCCCACTCATAAACTATGTTGTAAAAGCTCACTATTAACTGGGCTCTTTTGTATCTTGACAGGTATCAGCAATGGCTGAAGATGGCAGTGAGGAGATCATGTTTATCTGTAAGTGACCCACAGACCTGTGTGGGACAGGCGCGATGCTGTAGAGCATAGACGAGATTGACACTTCTGTCTGCAGAGTTATATCCACGCTCTGTTTGTATAGCATAGACATGCATCTCTTCTGAGGCTGCAGTTTGCTGACTTGCTTTGAGAGCCTGGGTGTTACCTGTCTGCTGCACTGCTGTGGCCTCAGGTGACTTCTCTTAAGGACTCCCATTAGGGGCACATGACTCAGTGATCCTTAACTCAAAAAACTCACCCAAAGGTTTAGAAAGAATGAAGGCTATAAGATTTAGTATAATGTGTTATTACTATCCTAAATCCTGATCTTCCTAACCATGGAGATGATGTCTGAGGTTTGAAAGTACCATAGACTGGTACTCTTGAAAAGGGCCTTTTGCTTGGGATTCTGTGCTTTCAGGAGCACTAAGAGTTGACTTGAGACAGGCCTCCTCCAACTGCTGTACCCTTGCTAGTCTTTGTATCAGCACACATGTCTCAGGAACTCCATTGCATTAGGGTCCCTTTTTTCCATTTTTGTGGTCTTTGGGTTTCCCTTTCCCTGGACATTGTCCCCTCTGACACTCAGTGTCTGTTTGCAGGGTGTGAAGACTGCAGCCAGTACCATGACTCAGAGTGTCCTGAACTGGGACCTGTGGTCATGGTCAAAGACTCCTTTGTGCTGAGCAGGGCAAGGTGAGTGAGTACCAAAGCTACCACAGCAGCCCTGTCTATGAAGACGGGCTCTCTGCCTGTTTGCTTGCTGTGGCCAGAGTGCAGAGACCCCATTTATCTCAAAGCTTGAGAGCCAAAGTGAGAGACTGTATGTGTGGGAGTGGTACATCCCTCAGGGAGCTGGGCACTTTCCCACTGGGGTGAGATCTAAGAGTTTCAAAGCATGAAGGTGTGTTTCTTTGATGTAGTCAGGACCCTCGGGATCTGGGCTGTGCCAGCCTGGATTTCATCAGTTTATGTACGAGCAAAAGTGGCCAAGCTTGCCAGATGGTAGTGGTACATACACGTCTTTAATCTCAAAACTCAGGAGCCGGTACATACACGTCTTTAATCTCAAAACTCAGGAGCCAGAAGCAGGTGGATCTCTGTGAGTTTGAGCCCAGCTTGGTCTACAGAGCAAGTTCTAGGATAGCCAGGGCTACACAGAGAATCTCTGTCTCAAAAAAGGGGGGAGGGTGGGGGGAGCTGCATAGGCTGCCATGTAGTAGCCACTTAGACTTAGAACAAATGTTACATTTCTGGACCTCAGTAGCCTGAGACATGGAGAACTTAAGTTACCCCTATGAGGCTCTGATGGTGCCTGATTCGGGCTGATGCTAAACTGATATGCTCGGTATCTTATTATTGTTTCTAGAAATCTCCCAACTGGTCCCTACCCCTGTTTATTTATCTTTATTTGTGACTTATGTTTTGAAATAGCTTTGCCCAAAGTAGAGAGCTGATCAGCTCTTTTTTGGGATGGAGGTACCAACTGGCCATCGAAGTCTAGCTGAAGACATTAGGTGCACAGCCTTGGTCATAGACTCTTCCTAGCCCAGCCTCTGCTCATCTCCAAGGGCGATGGTCTACCTCTGCTTCTGGATGTGTCTCCCACTGGCCTAAGCCCCCCCACCCATGCTGAGGTCCTAACTCCATGACCTCTTTTTTTTCCATCATTTTCTTTGACCTTCTAGTCTAGTTAATAAAGCCACATCCTCAAAGGGTAATATTCAGTTTACCCAGACCAGAGTCCCTTTGCTGGTCTTCAGTGTGTACAAAACTCTTCACCTTGCTCTATGCCCTCTTTTTTTCCCTTCCTCCACATTCTCTACATACAGTCTTGAAGGCCATAACTTTGTCAGATTCAGTTCTTGTTCCTTAGCACTCACACTAGGAATGTGGGGCCGGCATTGTTGTGTGGAGATTTAAATGTGTCCCTCAGTACATGGGCTCTGGGTCCTCACAAGCCTAGGCCAGTCCTGTTCCCATCTATAGGAGAGCTTAAATTTTGTTTCCTGACAAAGTGCATCTTGGAAGCATGATGGTCTGTAAGGGGGCTTGTAAGCAGTGCATTGCTCTGGCCAATGGCAGGGGCTCTTTGAGACTCCTTCTGTTTCCAGGTCCTCCCTCCCCTCTAACCTGGAGATCAGGCGCCTGGATGATGGGGCTGAAGGTGTGTTTGCAGTGACCCAGCTAGTCAAGCGCACACAATTTGGTCCGTTTGAGTCCAGGAGGGTTGCCAAGTGGGAGAAAGAATCTGCATTTCCTCTGAAGGTAAAAGCTGCAGGGGCAGGGGCTTCAGGGCCCCTTTAGAATCTGGGGCTGGATGACTTCTGGTGGGAGTGGGGTGAGGGCTGCTGAGTCACATAGATTTGTAAGTGCTGGATTATTCTTTCCTTCGCTTCAGCGTGCTTTACATTACAGAGCTTCAGCGTGCTTTACATTACAGAGCGTGAGGGTTAAGGCAGTACCTACTAACTTGTAGGTCTTTAGGGAGTACATTTAAGAGCAGACAGGAGTGACCCCATGCTGATGTAACTCCTCTCCTCCCCCAGCAGGTGCTGTGGCTGCAGCACAGCCAGCGATGGTCTCTGTAGCTTCCTGCACCGGTGTGGCAATCTCACTTACATGTGTGAGTTGCACGAAGCTCTCAGAGACCGAGTGACAGCATGGGGCTTGGTGGCTGCACAGAGCACATCTGGCTGAGGGAGAACGGGTATTTCCAACTTAGATATAACACCAAGAAAACCAAAGTGGATGTCAGTTACAAGAATGGCTGAGGATCTGAAGTGAACCCCGGGAAGCCTTCTGAGGAGGCTTAGACATGGGGCAAGCCTTTGGAAATAGTTGGGACATAAACAAGTGAGGCTGAGCTGTTCCTCAGCAACCCTGGGGACAGTGTGCTTCAGTTTGAGACCTGGAAGAGGCAGCCACCAGTCGTAGGTGTTGTAGCCTCAAGAGTTTGGCACTCTTTGGATATTTGAGCTTATGGGACAGATTTCAGCCGACCAGGAAAGACAGATGCCTGATGACAGGCATTTACAGGAGGAGAAGTGTAAGGAAAGCAGAAAGAAAGGGTCTGTGGTAAGAAATATTATGAAAGGCCTAAATCTGAGGCCAGAAAGGCAGGTGGCTTAGTGTCTTCTCTCTGCAGGTTATGGGTAAACACTAATGCCGGCACATGGCTAGAGAAGGTCCTCTATGCCTGTTAGACTTCCTTCCACCTCCTCGATTCTAAGTTATTTTCAGGTATTAACTTGTCCTCATCTCTGATACTCATCTTGAGTATGTCTCAAGGGAAGCCCTGTGTCCCTGAGAGGAGGGTGGAAATGTGCTTTCCACACCCACTAGGGGTCACTGGGCACCTGGTGTACTTCTGAGAGCCTCCCACAGATAAGGATCTTTTCAGGAGAGGCTTGGCAGCAGGCGGGGGTCCCTGAGGAAACAGTCATCATCCCACAGAGAACAGACCCTATGCCTATGCTAACTCAAACCTAAAGATCCTAAAGGCTCTCCCTGCCCTGCCCTCAGTTAACCCTGAAGCTTTAGTGGTGCTCTGCAGACTGGGGGCAGCTCGCCTAGTCTGAAGGACTCTGTTGATGTCGTGCTTGGGGCAGAACCAGGAGAAGAATTTCACTATCTGAGTACCCGCCTGAGCCATGGGGGTCCTGTTTCCAATAAAGCTGAGAGGAGAGCTCTTCGTTGTTATGTTGGATAGGAGACCTCAGGACCTCCATGATGTCTAGAGAGGAGAACTCAAGATTCCCTTGACTCCTGTATAGGAGGGGAGCTCAGGGTCTTCTTGACTCCTGGACAGGAGAGCTCACATTCCCCTTGACACCTGCACAGGAGGAGAGCTTGGGTGTCTTACTGTCCACCTGGCTCACAAATAGTCCTTATATATGCCAATGATGAGGGACCTGTTGCATGTCTTCGACTTTCTCTTTCTTGAGACCACCTTGACCCACCTAAGACACAGTCTTTCTCTGACCCCCGGCCATGGTAATCAGCTTGTCAACAGGTCTTATCAGAAGCAGTGTGATCTCCCCCATGGTCCCATGCCACATTGATAGACTGGTGGGTAACCAGCCTGTGGCCCTCCCCTCAGGTATTTCAGAAGGACGGGCATCCTGTATGCTTCGACACTTCCAATGAGGATGACTGCAACTGGATGATGCTAGTGCGACCAGCACTGGAGCCTGGGCACCAGAACCTGACAGCCTACCAGCATGGCAGTGACGTGTATTTCACCACCTCAAAGGACATTCCTGCAGGCACTGAACTGCGTGTGTGGTATGCTGCCTTTTATGCCAAGAAGATGGACAAGCCCATGCTAAAACAGGCCTGCTCCAGTGTTCAGGGTAAATCCTGTTTCCTCTCTAGGGCTGGGCCTCTTGCCAGAGACACCAATGAAGTTGCTGGGTCAACAGCTGGGACAGGGGAGGTGAGGTGAAACCAATGCAGTGCTTGTCATCATGCCTGAGCATATGGAGTGACAATCAGTGCCCGCCAAATCTTAGGACTCTTGCTGGTGACAGATAGTGCCTTTCTGCCTTAACGCGATTTGAGGCACTTGAGTATGATACAGGCTAGTGCTTGCTATGGTCGCAGGGTTCCCACAGTAGCCCATCCCTTGATGCTGTGAGGAATGTTTGTTTCTGTGAGTACAAAGGCCCAGGGACAAGCCAAATCATGGTGTAAAAGATGAGGCCCAGGACAGGCTGCGAGACGGTGTAGAACCAGTGGTTCTCAACCTTCCTAGTGCTGCGACCCCTTCATACAGTTCCTCATGTTGTGCTGACCCCCAGCCATAAGTTATTTTGTTGCTACTTCATATCAGTAATTTTGCTGCTGTTAACAATCATAATGCAAATATCTGTTTTCTGATGGTCTTAGGTGACCCTGTGAAAGGGTTGTTGGACCCTCAAAGGGGGTTGTGACCCACCGGTTGAGAGCCACTGGTGTAGCAGATGAGGGAGCCAGGGCCAGGCCAAGTGACAGTATAGAAGGTGAGGCGAGGGAACAGGCTGCATCACAATGCAGAAGGTGAGGAAACCAGGACTGGAGCAGCAGATCTGGCTCTGTGCTGTTAGTGTGCCAGTGCTGCTACTGTACCCCTCTTCAAGTCTGGTTCATGAGCATGTATGTGTGTGTGTGCCTATGCAACAGTGTGGTATGTCTAGACAAATGCCTTGGTGTGTGCATTTGGTTGTTCTAACCTGAAGGATGCATGATATGAATAGATGTGCAGGTCCCTTCATGTGTGTGCAGATGTGTGTGCAGATGTACAGATGTGTGCATATGTCAGGACATTTGCAGATACACAGTGTGCACAGTTTGTATGCATATAGATGTATAGATCTGTGGATGTGTTAGAGTGTATGGATCCACGGGAGTTACATGTTATGTACGTATGTACAGGCATGCAGGAGTATGCATGTTTGTACAGATGCACAGGTGTATATGTGTTAGGTGTGTATGGATCCATAGAAATACATGTGTGTTAGTGTATGTATCATCATGCAGGGATGTACATGTATATACAGATGTACAGGCGCGTACCTATGTTGGTGTATGTATGTTTATAGGGTTGTGCCTGTGTCTGCTCAGATGTACACACATGTGCATACACTTGTATGAATAAACAGATATATAGGATTGTGCATCTGTATACATGTGCAGAATTGTGTTTGTGTATGTCTCGATGCATATGCACACAGAAATGTACTTCTTTGTGGAGGGATTATTTGAAGTTCAGGATCTTCCTGGAGAAGTGGGTCACAGTAGTGTAGTAGAATCAATTTTTGTTTATCTCCGACTAGCTTACAAATAAATGAGACTCAGACTATGGTTATTTTATTTGGCTTTGACAGTTACTGAGGGTCACCCCTAAGCTACTTTTCTAACTGCTGGCCTGACTACCTCCCCAGCAGTGTACCCCAAATACTTGCTGTTTCTCCTGGCCACGTGCTCATGTTACCTCTCCTCTCGTGGCGCCTTCTCTTCTCTCCTCCTCATTCTCTGCCTCCTTCTTCTGCCTCCTGCTCCTACCTGCTCAACCAGGTAACTCAGAAATCTTCCTGTCTCTAATCTCTCACATAATTGGTGGTTGTCATTTTTATTTAAATTAAGGAATAAAGTTTGCACAACAAAAACTGGTACATATGAGAATTCACTCGTAGGCCTAGACCTTCTGGTATAGAATTCAGCATTATAGATCATATAACAGACCACACCTCAACACTGGAGCTGCAGTACTTGCCCTGTTCTGCCTTTGTCCCAGGCATCTCCCAGGGTAGCAGCCTTGCTCATTATTGTCATGAAGAGTTTCATCATTAAAGTTGGGACAGTGGCTCTGCTTCTGTCCAGATATAGCGACCTCTCATGAAAATGGTTTCTTTCTATGCCAAACTTTGAAACTTTGAGGAATGGAAGAGGCTGGTACATGTCCTGGAGCCAGCCTCATAAAGCAGCATAAAACAGGAAGCCAGCAGGCACAGATGTGGCTTCTCCCAGCTCTAGAACCTAGAATTAGTTCACTATGTCTTGGGGCAGATAGCAGGCAAGCAGGTACTTGTAAGTGGTGCAGGTCATTGGCTGTTGTCGATCAGGTGGCTAGCTGGAGTCTCTGTATCTTTCTACCTCTGGGGCGCTTGCCTAGTCATCTCAGGCTGGATGCTGCTGGCGTATGTTCTCCTGGGCTCCCCACTGGCTGTCTAAGTCAACTTACACACCATCTGCCTCCACACCATCTACCTCCCTGGCCACCCATCTGCCCTTTCCCTAAGTCCCTCTATGGCACACCCACAAAGCTTGGGCTATGAACTGGATACATCCCCCCCAGCATAAGCCAGGCATTGCAGCCCTCCTTGTCCACATCACAAAAGCCCACAGAGAGCAAGGCCTATGAAGAGAAGTGAGAGGCATGTAGAAATCAGTACCAACTGATTCTAGTTCCCTGGTTGGACCTGAGAGGGATGGACTTTGCATTCTGCTTAGCCCTGGACCTTGTTTATGTACCAGACAGTTTGCCACCCCAAGGTGGAGTGGACAAGTCTTGTGGACATCACATTGTCCTTACCCTAGGTGGGAAGGACCCCAGGCTATACTGTAGCCCAGGCTTTATGATGGGCATCTTTATTACACAAGTCAGTTTGTAGATGTCTAGAATCAGGTCCTAAATAGGATGGTCTCCAACTTCCAGTGGTTACATGTAATGTTTTTTAGCTTGGAGGTTTGTTTTATTTTGTTTTACTTTATGGTAGCATGAGTGATGAGCATTTGGTAGGAAATCGTTACTGTAAGCTTTGGTCTTCCCTCAGCCTGTGGTGAACAGCAGCTGCACCTCTCAGTAACTACATGACCACTAGGAGAACAGCCCATAGTACTTGCTGTCACAGCTGAGGGTCAGCAGGCTTGGTATTTTCACTGAACAGGAGCTTTATTAGGCAGTGTTGTGAGTTGAGGAACATCTGCTTAAAAAAAAAAATCCAAATTTCATCCTGCCATAGCTGTGATGTTCAACAGAAATAAAAAAAAATGAAGACTAAATTGTCTTGGATTCCTTGTCCCGGCTGTGGACTGTATTCTGGGTACGTGTTTCTCTGAGCCCACATTAAGAGCGGCTTGCTTGCTTTCCTCCCAAGGGCCTGAACAGGTGGGTGGAGTGGGAAACATGAACTCAGAATCACCCTTCTAATGAGAGAGACAGAAGGTAACATCTTCTAGTCTCTTTTTTTTTTTTTTTTTTTTGGTTTTTCGAGACAGGGTTTCTCTGTGTAGCCCTGGCTGTCCTGGAACTCTGTAGACCAGGCTAGCCTCGAACTCTCGAACCCAGAAATCCGCCTGCCTCTGCCTCCCAAGTGCTGGGATTAAAGGCGTGCGCCACCACCGCCCGGCGGTAACATCTTCTAGTCTCTGGTAAGCCATGTCACGCCCACATTCTGGCCACCCTGGTTCTCTCTGCTTCTGGCTTTGAGACGGGTGTCTTGTAGTTTTCAAGGCATTTACCATGCATGCTTTCAGCTGAGCTCATTATGTTGAGGAGCTGTCAACAGGCGTCTGCAAGTGTGTGACTCTTACCACAGACTCCTGCGGAACAGCCCGTCTTCCCTTCCCTCCTGCTTTCATCCTTGGTGACCCTCTGTCCTAAGCCAAATTGCTGTGTGTCCTGCTGGACTTTTCACAGTTGGTATGTGCCTACCCTCCTGTTACTTAGCTTTGACCTATGCACACACCTAAAGCCCTGTGTTCATAACTAAAGCCCTATGCTCACACCTAAAGCCCTGCTTCTTACGCTGTCAGGGCTGCTGTGGTCTCTGACCGTATCATGTTGGACTGAGACATTTTCATATATTCAGAAATGTCAGTTGGCAGTTAAGGGTTCATCTGCTGGCTATTGATTTTTTTTTTCATTAAAATTCCTACCTTATAAAGTTATCTTTTGCAAATCTTGTGTCGTCGTGACCACATGGTTCTTCCAATGAGAAGTCTTCACTCAGTGCCATAGTAGCAGATGTTCACAAATTCTCATGTGATATTTATAGGAGATGGTGGGTTGCTTAGATGAAGGGAATCCCAGTCCATTGACCCAAGGGCTCCTTTTAAAAACTATTTTGTGTGTGTTTATGTGTGTGCTCACACATGCCCATGTGTGTGCAAGTGTGCATGCATACACCATGGCACACATGTGAAGGCCAGAAGTATAACTTGTGGGATTTGGTTCTCTTCATCATATGAGTCCCATTGAACTCAGCTGTTTGGAGTTGGTGGCAAGTCCTTTTCTTGCCGAGCCCTTGCTGGACACCAAGGGCTCCTTTTTTGAATTCCTACTTGGGAACCTCTGTATGTTGGAGAACCTGAATGGATGTAGGAATTTGGCTCTTATTTCTGTTTATTCTCAATTTCCTGGGAGTCCCTAACCAGCAGATTTCTAAAAACGGACAAAGAAGAGTTGAGACACTAAGTGGGACGTTCTGGATTCAGTTCCCACTTTATTACCTTGTCCATCTTTTATTACCTTGTCCATCTTTGATCTCAGTCTGGCAGCTTCCACATTGCATATCTTTTCCCCTTGCAATAGTGGTCTGCATCCTTGTTTCTATTCATTGTTCTTAGCACTACTTTGGAATGCAGAGAGTTGGGATGTGTTTTTTCCGGGTGCATGGTGGGTATATAGCTGCAGATCTGGAAGGCTGTCGAGACTCCAGACCTTCCTCCAAGTGGCCTCTGGAGTATTAATTAAGCTGCTTGGTGATGGGTCTGGATATGACATGCAGGAACGGCAGCTTTGGGCTGGCCCCACAGAAAAACTTACTAGATGAGATCCTGAGGCATGCCCAGGGTAGGTGCCAGGAGAGCACCTGTGACATCTTGAAAAGGAACCTGCAGTCCCCATCTGCATAGCCAGGGTCAGTTCGTGTACCTAGAGCCCCCATCTTTGTCCCTCTTCCTCAGGTGTGTCATCATTGGATGGCTAAAGGCACTGCCTAGGCAGCAACCACTTGCCCCAGTTGGAGATTTTAAAAAACTGAGCAGTTAGAGCCTACTCCTGCTTAGGTACCAGGCCTCATGGCCAGACAACAGTTACAAGACACAACCCTGATCATAAAAAAAAACAAAAAAAAAAAAACCCTCTGTGGGATATGTTGGACCAGGATCACAGCCATTCCAGGTTCAGGAGCACTGTGAGATGGCTGTTGTTGGTCCCACCATACCGTTATATGAGCCACTGAAGATTTAAATGAGGAATCGTGTGCGTGTGTTGTGTGTGTGTGTGTGTGTGTGTGTGTGTGTGTGTGTTGCTACAGGTAGAATAAAGGTAAAGCATTCTACCTCATACCCCACATTTTAAAAAACTTTTTTGAGACAGGGCTTCACTGTGTTCCAGGCTGTCCTTGAACTTGTTCTGTGACCACGGTGGGTCTTAGATTTCCATTCTTGTTGTCCAGCCTACTAAGCAGTTGGTATTACAAGTCTATACAACCAGGCCTAGCTCAAGTGTAGCTCCTGGAGGCTTTTCTCTTAGGGAATTTGAAGGACTCTGGTCCCACGGGGCTGGTGACTGGAAGGGGCCACATTTCTGCTTCTGGTGACAGGGCTCACCCTGTGGTAGTAGCAGGGATACCATATCTACTCAGCTTCCTCATCTGTGAAATGGGGATGAACTTGATCATTGTGTGTGAAACTGAGGATAGTGCCTAGAATACAGTTGCTCATGAGTCTGTGGGCATCTCCATCCTTTTCAAATCACCTAGGGGACAGGCTGTTCTCTGCTCTAGTGGCTAACCTTTCTGACTGTCTTGCAGCTGCAGGCACCCCTGAGCCCAGTGTCCCTGTGGAGCCTGAGCGTGGCCAGTGGGTGTGTAAGGTGTGCTCCAACACCTTCCTGGAGCTTCAGCTCCTGAACGGTAAGGTAAAAGTGGCAAATGGGGTCTTTCCAAGGAGTGCAGAGCTTTTTCATTCATGTTGGCACATCCCCAAGGTTGTCAGGATGTCCTAGTCTTTGTATTGTCTGCCCCATGGCCCACAATGAGCTGCTGCTCAGACCTCCTCTGTGCAACCATATGGCCTGGGCATGTGGGATATTCACTCCAGCCTCAGTCTGTTTATCCAGAAAATGGCTATCATGGCTGTATGGACTGTTGTGAGACTCACTGAGTCAGTGCAAGTATATGGTGTGACCCTCCCTACTGTCCTGCTGACCAGGCTCTGGATATGGTGGACACAAGCAAGGACCAGAAACAGTGACTTGCCTCTTGAGGTCTTGCCTGGTGTCTGTATCTGACAGTCTCCCTCTGTCTGTCTTCAGGGCATCCTGTTACCTCTGCTTCCCTTACTAATTGAAGGTGGCCAGAGAAAAATTGACTCCATCCTTTATTCCACAGTATCCTCGGAACCTCTCTGCTGGGCAGTTGAGAAAGATGCCAGTCACATAAATTAGAAAGAAGCTAGGTGTGAAAGCTGTGACCTTTATCACATAATGAACATGCTTGGTGGCCAAACTGCAAAGGAGCCACTGATTTGCAACTTCAAGGATATGACAATGACAGCTAGGTTCTGCTCTTGCAGCCTGAGCAAGTCAGTGATTGGAATACTCTGGGATCTATGAGAAGGTTCTTTCTAGACAGAGTTTAGCAACAGAAATGCAAATGTGAACATTTCTAGGAAAAAGCTTGATCACTAGGCAGGGCTTGTTCATCTCCTAAGGACAGTGGATGTCTTTTCCCGTGTTCCTGGACTATCTGCCTAATCTTGTCCTTTAACACTTTTGTTCTTTTGCCCAGGAAAATCACCTGTGTTCATCACAGATGGGAGCAATGAACAGCTGCCAGTTTCTTCCTCCTCTTCCTCCTCCTTTTTACTTAACGTTTTGTGTGATTGAGTGTTTTGCATGCATGCCTGTCTATGTACCACATGTGTGCAGTGCCCATGGAGGCCAGAAGAGGGCACTAGATCCCCTGGAACTGGAGTTACAGAGGGTTGTAAGCTGTCATGTAGGTGCTGAGACATGAACCATGGTCTTTGGAAGCTCAGCAAGAACTTGCTTTAAGCCACTGAGGCATCCCTCCAGCCCCATCTGCTGTTGCTTCTAGGTTTCTTAAGAGTGCTGAACTTGTGAAAGAGCATATCCCCTAGAATGAGGGCAAAGCCCATCTGTGGAAATCACAGGGTACAGGGACATCACACAAGATATGGTCACTCAACCCTGATCAAGAAAAGCTATTTGATCTGTTGGGTAATTTATTGGGTAGTTGGTGACTAATTATAGATAAAGAAAAAAACCTCCCTTCACTTTGGTAGTAGAGCTAGGCCAGTATTCCTAGATGCCGGTTCAACTGAGACCTCTTACCATGTGCTTGCACTGACACAGTGAGTCTCACATAGTCTGTACAGCCATGATGGCCATTTTCTGGATAAACAGATTGAGGCTGGAGTGAATAGCCCACATGCCCAGGCAATATGGTTGCATATGCTGGAGCCACATTCAATGCAGGCATTGCCTAACCTCTGCTACTAGGGGGTGATAGGCTCTTCTTTCTCCTGAAATCCTTGCCTAGGTGTCTGTTGGGTAACCTGATAGTTGAGGACCTAGGTGCAGAGCTGGTCAGAGGAAGAGTAGAGAGCTGAGTCTCTGGGAATCTGGGCTGCAGGGCAGAAAGACCTTTTGTTTCCTTTAGACTGGCTTTGAAGACATCCCAGAGCCAAATGGCATGGCTATAGTACACAGATCTATGGAGAACAGGCTTCATTGGGTCATACTTTGTCAAGTAGGAGAATGTGAATCCATGATCCCCCATCTTAGCCATAATCACACTGGGCCTGAAGCTGCCCTCTGCAGAACCTTGTCTGAGAGGCTTACCTCAAGTGGGAAGGTGTTGCTTTGTTGTTTAGGCTCCAGCCTATGGTGTCTGCCTTCTTTGTGGTCAGCTAACGTCAAAACCAGATGAGTCTTTTGAACATGAACACATTTCATGCATTTATTCATGAACACACATGACTGTGAGCAGGTGAGGGTCAGCGTGTGTCTTTTAAAGTCAGACCCACTATGCAGAGCACCAGGAGACCAACTGGACAACATGGGAAACATAGGCTGTTGTTCTTGACCTTTCACCTGATGCTGTCATTTCCTGAGTCCCCTTGGGGAACCTGACTCCAGTCTCAGGAGGCCACTTAGGGATGTCTGATTAAACATGAAGCAATAGTGAATGTACTGGCCTTGGTGCCCTCCTGGAATTCTACTCCATTTAAATGCAAAGACAAAGAAAGGAGAAATGAAGAGCATTGAGCAAGGTTGAAAAGCTGTCAGGGTGTGCTTGCAGCCACATTAACCAAGCAAACATGCCAGAGAAGCCACAGCCAGTAGTGGGACACCCAAGAAACATGTCTGCCCCTGCAGAGCTTGGGGAGTGTCAGGAGTCTGGGAAGAGGGGACAGGGAAGCACAAACTGTCAGCCTGCTTAGAGCCCTGGCCTCCTGGTCTGCCTCAACCCTGCTATGGCCCCACCGAGCCGCATCTCTATTTCCATCTGCATGCTTTTGGACTTGAGACTGGGAACCCTGAGGTACTGAAGACAGGGACTCACAGAGTCAGATGTTGGGATTTGGGCAGTTTCAGACCTCTTCATTTCTTCCTCTTAGAGTGGGCTCAGGCCCCAGATAAGAAGAATTCTCTGTAGAAACCATTGAGGGAGATGAAAGACCCACAAGTAGGAGTGCTTAACCTCTGACCATCTTGCAGAATAAGACTAGGGACTGAGAGAAAACTTAACGTGAATAAGAGACCAAACAACTTGTCTGAGGAATCTGAAAACTGTACCCCTCCCCCACTCAAAAACCTCCAAGCTGGAGTTCTCACTGAGGTGAGAAGATGGCAGCATAGCACTACATCTTTCAGATAAGAGCAGGCCTCTGTTGTAGATGACTGAAAATGAGAGCTGTGGTAGTAGACATAAAATGATGGAAACGTGTCTAAAAACACTGGAGAGTTTTCCATAAGGAGGAACATGTGGAGAATACTAACGATTCAGAGACTGAAGGATGGTCTGAGACTGCAGGTGGCCGGAGTGTTCAGTGGAGAAAGGGAGAGGCAATAAGAATCAATTGGTGGACTCAGTTGGTAGAGTTGTTGCCTAGCATCAGAAGCCCCAGCATCCCCCCCAAAACCAGACATGGTAGCAGATCCCTGTAATCCAAATCTTTAAGAGGCAGAGGCAGGAGGATCATCAGGAGTTTAAAGTTATCTCAACTACATAGTAAGTTTAAGGGCACCCTAAGTTACATGACATCCTGTCTCAGAAACAAACCGAATGACTAACTAGTCAGCAAGGAAATCCTAAAGGATGCAGGTTTATAACCTAGAGGTGCCCAACTGGCCAGCAATGTGATGAATGACAAAGACCCACCTGTGCTATCATGGGACTTAATCATAGGATTTAGAGAGAAACAAACTGTTGGGGGATAAGCCATTAGAAAGAGGAGCACTGTTAGGACAGGAAGGCAGACTTGGCCATTAGTTTCTTCACTGTCAGCAACCTAGTGAAAATATTCAGCAAATCCAGAAATTTCCAAGCAATGTCGAAATCTCATGAGGAGAACCCTGAGTATGCTGGTTGTCACTATCAGACCACTTGATGAAGACATTGTCACCCATACCAACTCTGGATTCCAATGCCCAAATGTGTGACTTTTCAGATCCTAGCACCTCTGTTGAGTTTCACAGTGCTACCTTGCCCAACGCAATATGCATGTTCTCTACATAGACATATGGAAAGGAAGAAAGTCCTTTAGAGAGAGCAGGGGACTCTGGGAAGAACAGGTGCTATAGAAGAAGGAGAAAGGGGAAGGTGGGGAGGGGCCATATGAGGGAGGGACTGGGAGGAGAGGGGTGTGATCGATATAAAGTGAGTAAATAAATTAATGAAAAGAAAGAAGAGAAAGGGGAGAAATTCAGGAGATAACTGTGTTTGGTTGTAATAGAGGAGAGAGGGTACAAACTAGCAGCAGACAGAGAACAATGAATGACTGATGGAAGATAAGGATGCAATTAGCTCCAGGGGAAAAGAATGCTAAGTACAACTGCTTTGTGGTATAACTGTGAATTGATCTTTATGGCCATGGTCTTGTAAACACCAGTTGGCTTACACAGAAGGTGTGATCTGAGTGTGCTGGTGTGATTGGGAGGAGTCCGAGGTCTAAGAAGGGAACATCATGTATAAGAAAGTAGAATCCCCTTATTTTAAGTCGTCAGTAGACACTGCCTAATATAGTCAGGCCTCTTCTTTATCTGTGGCATCCTCATGGCAGCGCTCAAACAGCTGCACAACAAAAAGCTACTCAGAAAATGTGCATCTGTACTGAATTTTACAGGATTTCCTTTTTCTGTCATTATTCCCTGAATGGAGAGTGATAACCATCTGCATAGCATTTTTACTGCATTTTGGTGTTTCGAATGTTAATGTGTATGACATGTGTTGGTTTTCGAAAATACTGTGCCATTTTATGTAAGAGACTAGAGTGTCTTGTGGGTTTTTAGGCTTAGGTTCCTAGAACTATTCTCTGTAAGTCTGGATAGGTGACTGGAAAATGCAGATGATTGAATGAGCAGAGTGAGGCAGGAGACTGATGTTTTTTGTTACGAACCAATTACATAGTTGTACCTTTCTTGTTGAGCCTTTTTACCAATATTGTGAGCCTTTTCAAAGATACAGCTTTGAGCTTCATTTATTTCCTACTGTTTTTTCATTTTTAAAAATTAACTTCTGATGATTTATCATTTCTTTTTGTTCTTTTGAGACAGGGTTTTATGTAGTCCAGGCTGTGCACTTGGTCTGTGGCTCAGGACAACCTTGGCTTCTGCTTCACTTCCTACAAGCATGTGCCTGGCTCCTTTTTATCCTTTTTTTGTTTTTGTTTTGTTCTATTCTCTGCTTTAAATTGAATGCTTCACTCAGTCAGTTTTACCTTTTTTTTTTTAATATAAGCACCAAGGTTTTCCCTAAGAGCCATGCTAGCTTCACAATTGATTCAACATTGCATCTCCAATCTCATGCACACCATAGCATGGTCCAGAAATTCATAAAGCAAAGACTGACAGCTGTATGAGGAGAAATTGCACCATCTCCACTCATGGTAACCAGAGCGGTTAGTAAATCAAACATAAATCACAAGGGCATAGGAAATTTGATGAGCATGGTAGACAGACTTAGTAACCCATGTGAGTGCAGCATCAGAGTGTGTGTGCTTTTCACGCACTTTTTAATGTTTTTTTTTTTTAAAAAAAATTTATGTGCATTGGTGTTTTTGCCTGCATGTATTGTATGTGTGAGGGTGTCAGGTCTCCTGGAACTGGAGTTACAGATAGATGTGAGCTAGTCACGTGGGTACTAGAAGTTGAACCCTGGTCCTCTGGAAGAGCAGCCAGTGTTCTTAACCACTTTGCCGTCCCTGAAGCCCCACTTCTCATACATTTATTTACTGGTTTCTGAGACAGGCTCTCTCTTGGTTCTTCTGCGTTAACCTTCTGATTGCTGGGATTTTAGGCGTGTGACACCACACCTGTCTATACAGTGCTGGGTACCAGATGGTATTTCGTGTGAGCCAGGCAGACACGAAGCTCATAGCACCAGTCTCTAGCTTTTGCCATCTCGTTTATTTACTCTGTTTATTTTGGACCTTGGACCTGAAGAATCACAGCTTCTGTCTACTGTGGATGGCTCTGCATCCGTGTCGAAGGCATTGCTTTTCTCTGCTCTCTGATGGGAAGCAGTGCCTTCAACACAGACACATATTGCAGGCAGTATTTAGAAAACCCCGCTGCTCGGGCCTGCTCTGCTAGCTATCTGGGCTGCCTGCCATGTTCCAGACTAGAAGCAGCCAAAGGCCAAGAGCACCCCATGAGACGTTACGTTGGTGGCTGGTTCCACCAATCAGCTCCATAGAGACCATGGCCCAAAGCATAGATTTTAGGCCAACCCCGTCACCCTCATGGTTCTCTGCTAAGCCCTAGACGATATCCACCATGCTCACGGTTCCCAGGAGAATGAAGACTCTTAATGCTTAAAAATTATCCAAAGGATTTATATATTTGGAAATGCTCAATTAACAAGATGCTCACACAATTAGAGTTGTTACCCAATACCTAACCTTTAGATATAAATTGTTACCCAGGACTGCTCTCCTCCATGGTTGCCAGTCTCCTCTCTCTCCTCTCCTCTTCCTTCTTCCCACTCTTTGCTCCTCCCACATTAGCTTCTTCCCATTTACAGAGCTTTATTGCAAATGTAGTGGGGAAAATATCCGCTACAGACACAGAACTAGTATAGAATGAATCCATGTCTCCTACACAGAGTCCATGTATCAGCATTGCTCCTTGCCTGGGTCCAGAGTAGACCAAGTCGATGTCTTAGAACCCAGGTCTTGTGATGACTTGTGAGCCTGTCTTTACAGCTGGATAACCTATGAGACCCTATGGCTTCCGATTTCACTCTTGCTGTGTCCTTCACTTTGGTTTTAAGTTCCTTATGTGTGATTGGCAGAGTCTTGTTTGCCTTTAATACTGCTCAACCTGTATTTTCAGGGTGTGTGTTCTATTTGTCTAACCCTGTTAGGTGCCAGATAATGTTAGCTTTCCCTCACAGGGCTGCTCCTTGGGGCCACCCACCTAGCATAGTCTCTAATACTGAACAAATCAGAGATAATGGCCACTTAGCTAGGAACTAGTGCTGAATCAATTCACATTTGCAGAGGGAAGAACCAGCTCCAAGCACAGTGGTGCTTCTATCATGTCTCCCTCTTCCTGGCATCTGGTACTCTGTGACCCAGCACATTTGCCCTCTACATTCCGAGCTTGCCACTCCACGTGGCTGCCAGCCTGTTTCCAATGTCTATCTCCACTGCCTTTTCCTGAGTGGTCTTGGAGAGTTTCTGTCAGCTGTAAATAAGCAAAGACATTTTGCTTTCTTGGAGGGTTTATAAAGAAATGTTTAACTGGGCAGTGGTGGAGAACACCTTTAATCCCAGCACTTGGGAGATAGAGGCAGGATGATCTCTGAGTTTAACACCAGCCTAGTCTACAGAACAAGTTCCAGGACAGTCAGGGCTACACCGAGAAACCAAACCGTGTCAAAGAAAGAAAGGGAGAGTGAAGGACAGATGGAGGGAAGGAAGGAGGGAGGGAGAGAGAGTGAGGGAAGGAGAAGAAGGGAAAGAAAGGAAAGGGAGGAAGAAAAAGAAGGGTAGGAGGGTAAATAGGAAGGAAGAGGGAGAGAAGAAATGTTTACTGTGCTTTAGGTAGTATTCTTCTATAGGTGCTTGCCTCTTAGGGTGTCACACTTGGGGGGCGAGGGGGAACAGAAAATGCAATCAAGGAAGTAAGTCAGGTTCCCATGGTTTCATGGAGTAAGACATGTGAACATGGCCTCTGCAGATATGCGTGTGCACTTCCAGATTTACAGACTGTTTCGTATAACGCCATACCCACCTGCATCTTATTTACTTCTAAGTACAGCTTCAGGGTGGGGGATGTGACCCAAGTGGCAGAGTGCTTGCCTAGCATGCAGGAAACCCTGGGTTTGAGCCCTAGTACTGCATAAAACAGGGCATGATGGCATTTGTGTAATCTTAGCCATTGAAGGTAGAGACAGAAGGATCAGAAGTTGGGACTGGACTATGCTACATGACAGTCTTAATGCATAAACAAAAATAGTTTAAGCTGATCTCCATTTGAAAGTTCCAATTATGAAGTACTATAAATTTCTAAACTCACAGTCACCCACGATCTGGAGCCATCTGTTCCTGGACATGTCAGATGAGAGAAACTCAATTTTATATAGTAGAGCCATTTTCTCTTTAAAAACAGCGAAGATAAAGTTTATTTACCTGTGCAGAGGGCACACTCGGCAAGCATAACAAAGAACGCCAACACAGCCAGGCCAGTGGTGAACTGGCAGGGGTTCAGCTTCCTACTGAATCATCACCAGCCCGTCTACTCTTGCAGAACATCTCTTGGTCCACCTGGAGCAAGCCAAAAGCCTGCCTGCAGGTGGTCAGCAGCATGAGGCCGCTTCTGAGAAGGAGCCTGATGCACCCAGGATGGAACCTCCCACAGCAGCGGAGAGCAAGGGCATCCAGAGTGTCGTGGTCACCAAAGAGCCAAAGAAAAAGCCTCGAAGGGGGAGGAAACCCAAAGCATCCAAGGTTGAGCAACCTCTGGTCATTATCAAAGACAAGGAGCCTGCAGGTGAGAAGCTGATGGGGTATGTGCTAGGGCTGGTGGTATGTTCCTCATCACCTCTTAGTTTTCTGGGTGACCATCTTGGCAGGGAGGGCTCATGAGGTAAGGGCTTATATCCTTTCTAGTCCCTCAGTCAGCTGCTAAAGTGTGATTTATTGTCTTAGTCAAGATTTCTATTGCTGCAAAGAAACACCATGAGCAAAAAGCACGTTGGAGAGGAAAGGGTTTATTTGGCTTACACTGCTAGATCATAGTTCATCATTGGAGGAAGTTAAGACGAATTCAAACAGGGCAGAAACCAGAGTCAGGAGCTGATGCAGAGGCCTCGCATGGAGGAATGTTGCTTACTGACTTGCTTTACATGGCTTGCTCATCCTGCTTTCTTATAGAACCCAGGACCACCAGCCCAGGGATGGTACCACTCACCATAGGCTGGGCTCTCACCCACTGATCACTAGAAAACGCCTTACAGCTGGATCTCATGGAGGCATTTTCTCAGCTGAGACTCCTCCCTCTCTGATGACTCTAGCTTGTGTCAAGGTGACACAAAACCAGCTAGTACAATTAACATGCAGAATCTTCAAAACACAGAAAATTTTAAATGGACACCTGGCTAGCCATTGTCTCATCAGGACTGAAGCCCTTGGTCTGTTTTTGTTGTTGTTTTGTTTTTGCTTTGTTTTCTATTTATGGTTGGCCTTAAGCTCAGCATGTAACTCAGGCTGACTTTAAACTCTTGACCCCACCCACTCTTGCAGAGCTGTGATGACACACCTGTGCCACACTGTTTGGCTTGTGTTTGTGTGTTTCACTATCTCAGTTGTGAGTCTTGCCCATCCATGCCAGTCAGTCACAGCTCTGTTTACCCAGCAGTCCTTAGTCCATTGTGCAAGTTCCAGTATTTGTTACCTGCTGCTCATGGGTGGACATAAATTTTTCTTTCATTCATTCATTCACTCATTTTTTTCATTCATTCATTGTGTGTATGTGTGGACATGCCATACAGACCACAGACCACAGCGTACACAAAAGTCAGAGGATAACTCTGTAGTCTTTTTCAGCTCTGTGAAGACTCCAGGGATGGAACTCTGGGGCCAGACTTGTACAATAAATATCTTTACCACTAAAAATTTAGTCTTTAATAAAATCCAAAGTCTTTATAAAATTCCAAACTCTCTTTTTAAAAAAACAGTCTCTGAACTATGGGAGCCTGCGAGATCAAAATTAAGTTAAATACTTTTCAAGAGGGAAGAACCAGGGCATGGTCATAATCTGAACGAAGCAAAACTAAATTCTGACAGTGTAGACACTCAATGTCCAATATCTGAGATTCACTTGTGGTCTTCTGAGACCACCAGCCAAGGGATAGCACCACCCTCACTGGGCTAGGCCCTCCCACATTAATCACTAACTTTAAAAATATCAATACAGCTTAGTCAGGGTTTCTGTTGCTACAATAAAATACCATGATCTTATAGAGACATTTTCCCAGTTGAAGTTCCCTCCTTTCAGGTAACTAGCTTGTGTCAGGTTGACAGAAACTAGCCAGCACACCACTCGAGCCACCTCACTGACACCCGAGTTTGTTCTTTGATTATGCAGAACCCTCAGCTAAGTTTGCAGTGATTCACTCTGTAGCATGTACGTGTCCCTGGAAAACAATTGTCTCCATGGTCCTCGTGCTACCCCGTCCCAGCTGCCTGATCCCTCCGATGCTAGGTCCACCTCACACTTAGGACAAATGTAGTGCTCCGATGTCTGCCCCTTCTGCTTGGGTTACTGGACTCTGACTCTGCTCTTGCCATTGTGAAAATGAGAAGCAAGCTTGGAATTAAAAAGAGACTAGAAGAGCAGCTTCTGTGGAACATTCTCCGCTTTCCTGTTTCCTCCTCTCTTTGGCCAGTGCCTGTTCTCTGAACATTTGAAAGTGTCTACACATGAGCAGGAGTGGTTTGAAGACATCCCTTCCTCTATAGGCAGGAATGGACAGAAGGAATGACTTCCTGGCTGTCACTTGCATTTGATGATAGTAGGTGAAACAATAGAAACCACAGGCTCCAGAGAGGCTTCCACAGGCGGCTGATGGGAGCAGATGCAGAGACCAACCTCCAAACATTAGGGGGAGAAAAAAACCCAAATTGGAGATCTCCATTGATTCCCCACCCTTGGAGCACAGGGAACCTTGCAGAAGAGGTGAGGAAGAATTGTAGGAGCCAGAGGGGCTAAAGACATGAAGGAACATGGCCCACAGAAGCAACTAAGCAGGGCTCATAGGGATTCACAGAGATTGAGGTGGCCATCACTGAGCCTGCATAGGTCTGCACTAGATCCTCCGCATATCTGTTAGGATTGTTAGTTTGGTGTTTGGGACTCCTAAGAGTGGGAGTGTGGGAGTGTGTGTGTGTGTGTCTGTGTCTGTGTCTGACTCTTTTGCCTGCTCTTAGGACCCTTTTCCTCCGACTGGGTCGCCTTGCCCAGCCTTGATAGGAGGGTTTGTGCCTAGTATCTTGTCTGTTGATATCTTTGGGAGGCCTGATCTTTTCTGAAGAAAAATGAAAAAAAGATTGGATCTGAGGGAGGTAGGGGTAGGAGTGGGGAATCTAGAAGGAGTGGAGGGAGGGGAAACTGAAGCCAGGATGTATTGAAAACAAAAACATTAAAAAATAAAAAAAAAATAGAATAAAGCAATGGCTCAGGGTCTAGAATATGACTCAGTTTGTTGAGTGTTTGCCCATCATTCACGGAGCCCAGGGTCCATGCCCAGCACCACAGAAACTGAGCATGATGATACATACCTAGAATTATATCTCTTAGGAGATAGAAGGATCAGATATCCACAGTCATCCTTGGTTACATAGTAAGTTCAAGGCCAGCCCTAGCTACCTGAGACCCGATTTCAAAAAACAAAACAACAATGGTTGAAATTTTCTTCTATATATATCTTAATGTTTCATTTGATCCTATTTCTGATATGGCCCTGAACAGAATACTTACTCACCTTTGAACATCCTCAAGATGACTCGTCATACTTGTAAGCTTCTGTCAGAGCTCATTTAATAAGCTACAAGACCTGGCCAGTGGTGTCCTGGGCGGAGACAGGAGTAGCTGGATGTGATACCTGGGCTTTACAAGGCATGTAGGGTCACTTTGGTTTGCATTAAACACGTTATACTCTCTTTAAGTGTAGATAAAGGTTTAGATTCTAAAATGTTCTACTTTTATCCCTGTTGCATTCAGTCTCGGGTTGTGCTCCCCCAGGGTGGTGCTTCTCCTGGGTTTTGTTACAATATGTCCTCTACACTAGTGATGACCTTTTGTCATACCCTTTTGCACAGAGCATGTGGCAGAGATCATAACCGAGATCCCCCCAGATGAGCCTGTGAGTGCAACACCAGATGAACGGATAATGGAGTTAGTCTTGGGGAAGCTGGCCACCCCCACAAATGAAGCCAGCTCAGTGCCAAAGTAAGTCCTGATTGTACATGGCTGGTGCTTGGGGACGGAGCACAGGGAACGGCTAATTGGTGCTGAAGGGAAAGTACCTCCCACCTTTAATCCCCACAGCAGAGCCGGGCTTCATCTCTTCTGGCTAGCAATGTATGTTCTGAACTCTAGAGTTTCCTAGTTTCCTAGTTTGTTCACTGTGAATTTTTTTTCTTAAAACATGAACGACAGAAAATTCACCATCACAACTCTTTTTTAAGGACACAGTGCAGACACTGGCTATCCGTCTCCCAAGCTTTTTATCTACCCAGACTGAACCTAACCACCCCATTCTGCTTTCTGTCTGCAGGCAGTTCTAGCCAATATCCCCCATGTCAGCAGGGCACATAGTACTTGCTTTACTTTCTATGAATAGCTTGTTTTGCTTCTATGTCATAGTGTATGTGTGTCCAGATCTCCTCTGTAAGGCTCACGTTACCCCGATGCATGTACCTGCTTTGTCTGCTCTCCCGAGGGGATCCTGAGGGCTTTGCCTTAGGTATGTGAGCAGTGCTGTTCTGGTTCAGCAGTTGCTTGTATTTGGATATTGGTCAGTTTCACATCATGTTCTGCTTTCTTTTTTGTGAGCAAGGGAAAGAAATGTTTATACCGCAGTTATAATTCCCTAGTGAGTCTTTGCCCTGAAGTTGACTCAGCTGCTGGTGTTTTCTATGCCCTTTGGAGTTGGCAGAATTCACCTGGTGAACCTGTGAAAATGTGGGTGTGTTTATTATTTCTTTCCTGTCTTACTGCCCAGAGGATTTCAAGCACTTACCAGAAAAAGCACACTTGACAGGATGAAGAAGCATTTAGGAGTCAAGTTCAGAGTCAATATAGAACATAGTAGAGTTGATACCAAGTCAGGACAAGAACCATAGACAAGGCTACCTTGTTGGAAGACAAATGAAGTTCAGGCTTCCTGGTGGCCAAAGCTGAAGCAAGTGAGCTGTTAGACAGCACTGAAGCTAATGCTCAGAGTCTATGCTACCTGGGACTGCGTGACTCCAAGTTCTGCCTGCCTTCCTTCCTTATGGACCAATCATAGCTCAGAAATGTGGCTGATGACTATGATCAGAAACTTTCACTCTGAGGACCAGCCACTGCCTCTTCTTGACCAGCTGTCCCTCTCTTGGGCAGGTTCACGCATCATCCAAGCAGCACCATTGCCCTCAAGAGGGGCTTGGTCCTGTCCAGCAGACATGGTGTCCGGCGGAAGCTTGTTCGTCAGCTGGGTGAGCATAAACGCATCCATCAGTGCGGCACCTGCAGCAAGGTCTTCCAGAACAGCAGCAACTTGAGCCGGCACGTGCGCTCGCACGGTGAGTGCGCGCACGGTGAGTGCCTGCCCAGCCTACAGGGCGGGGCCAAGAAGGTGTGTGTCCATTGCTGGGTCCTTGCTGCAGAGCCGCTGCAAGGAGTGGCCCTGTGGCTGCCTGTCCCCTCCAGCACAGGGGCACCCCGCCCAGTCAGAGATGGGTGCACCGTGCTGAGAAAGGCCAAAGCAGTGAATCTACCTTCTGTTGGTTCATTTCTTAGGTGACAAGCTGTTTAAATGTGAAGAATGTTCAAAATTGTTCAGCCGTAAGGAAAGTCTAAAGCAACATGTTTCCTACAAGCACAGCCGGAATGAGGTAAGTGAGCACCCAGGCAACTGACTGAACAACTGTTTTCTAGAAGAGCCATAACAGAAGGGAGCTCTTACATTTCCAGAGGGATCACACACACACACACACACACACACACACACACACACACACCGCCCTACCCCCTTATCCCACCTGCCATGCATTCCGAGCCCAGCTTAAGCCACTGCTTACAGAAGCAGTAGGGACAATATGGGAGAACACTGGTGGCTGGTATTTGGGGTGCAGTTAACTGAGTGTGAGGTTCTCTTTCTCAGGCAGTTGGACAGCAAGAATATCCCTACTAGAACAGAGGAGGAAAACTGGTATAGCCAGCCCTAGAAGTTACTAGAACAGCACACGGAGGGGGGCCCCTGTGTTGAACTCCTGCAGTCTTCCTTGCTGACAGTGTGCCCTTTGAGCAGGTGGACGGTGAGTACCGCTACCGCTGTGGCAGCTGTGGGAAGACATTCCGAATGGAGAGTGCACTGGAGTTCCACAACTGTAGGACAGGTGAGGCCCTAACCCATATGCGTGCCCTGCGTGTTAGGAGAAAGGGTCTCACTTAGCTTCCCAGGCCTCTCCCTGATCCTTTTACCTCAAGGAATATGAGGAATATTCAGAACTGTCCAGCCATTGGAGACATCCAAGGCAATTTTCCCGTAGTCAAGAAAGGATGGGTTGTCTCATCTCCGTTCTCCATTCTCAGACCCTGTGTCTGAGGCTACAGTGATGCAGGACCCTCATCTTTGCTGACAGGTGAGCAGCAGTGTTGAGTTTATTCTAGAAGTGTATGAGAGAGAGAACCACAAAGGCTTGAGATGGGAAAGGCCCACCTGCCTTGTCGGAGTCACTCCCACCGTCAGTCTCCTGCACCTGTGTCTCCTGTGGGCATCCAGACAGATTTTGTTGCCACCAGTCTCAGGTTGTTACATCCTGAGCCTGTTTCCACCTGCCACTCTCCAAAAGGAAAGAAGCCATCTTTGTATGAGGCCCAAAGCTGCTGTGCTATGAGCCACCCTTGCCGGGGGACAGCTATGGTTTGGGGGACCACGGTGTTCTCAGGCATTGTCTCTTTATAAGTGAATGGTGGAGTCTGTGCAGGCAGCAGGTAGGCCAAGGGGTAGCAGTTGTCTGAGACCCGGATGCCCTGTGCTCTAGAAAGAGGGCCCTGAGTTTACTAGTGCCTGGGCTTTGGCCATGGAACTGTAGAGAGAGGTTACCAGTACCTTTGTGTTCTCCCTTGCTCTATGACTCAAAACTACACCACGGTCATTCTGTGACATTCCACTCTGTTGTCAGGCTTCTGTCCATCCTGATGCCCACCCGTGAATATCAGTGTCTCAATCAATTTGTTCTTTCACTGTCTGCGCCTGCTTTTTTCTGTCCTCAGCATGGTGCCTTGCTCACTATGACAAGGCTGTTCTGAGAGACAGGACAGGTAGATTCCTGGAGGTTGCATGTCAGTGACATGAACCATCTGTGTGGGAGCATGCACCTAACTTAAGCATCCGAAGCCTGTGCCCTCCCTGTCTTGGTGTGCCCGTAAGAATCTGGGTGTGCTCCTACCTGTTCTGAGACCCCATGGCAGCTTTTCATGTACCTGTTGTGGTGTGAAATTAGCAGAATGTTCATCCTCGAAGGATTTATAGAGGGCTGGGTACTTCGGGTGCATAGCATTTCTGAAGCCCGTGCTCCCAGGCCTTTTCTGGGTCCCCTGTGCACTGGTGTCACTCTCACTGTGTGTTTGCAGTGCTCCCTTTAAACCTACAGAGGGCACTAACAGGTAGCAAGCCAAAATACAGCCTCTCATCAGTGTGGGGCCCTAGCAGTCCACTCTTGCTTTCTCAGATGACTGAGCCCTTTGCTTTTTACCATAGCCTGGAGCATTTATCTACAGGGTCTGTACGTATCTCCAGTGACTGGATTATGGTGGTGGGGTTAGATAACATTCTGAGAACTGAGTTCTTGTACCCAGTTATTGGGCCATCTTAGTTGACTGTGTAGGTGATCAGCACATAAAACAGTTGGAAGTAGGGTCTCCTTCCACATACCAGGAGAGGCTTGTGAGGGAGAACATTAGAGCCCATGCCAGCACTGCTGCTTTCCATGATTACCAGTGTTGTTCGGAACCTATAAGGAAGAAGGCTCATGTGTTATGTTCAGAGACTCAGTTACACTCTGAGCACCTGCTTAGAAGGAGGCCCTCCTGTACTGTAGACCTGGTTGGGGCTTAGCAGAGCTGCTCTGTAAATGTAGCCAAACAAACGAGAGAGAGGGTTGAATTATATGAATAGCTTTTGACCTTGGCAATGTGAGTTGTGTGGTAGGAGAGAACAATGCTGTGATGGCATTCTCATCATGTCACACTGCCAAGTGCAGGTCCAGGTCTCCTGAGACTCACATAGGGCTTAGTCTAGTCCATGACTTCGCAAGAGGAGCCATCCTGCTGTGGGGAAAGCTATAGCTAGGCCACTGCTTCCTGTGCTTCCTGCCCCTCAGATGTGGTGCCCACTCAACAAGACATAGCCCTGCCTTGTGTCTTTGTCCCCTTGGAGGAGGAGATAAAGATGGATAGTTTTCTTCAGTTTTAGGTGGGTTGACCTCTGTCTGGCTACATATGGGATCTCCTGAGTAGAACTAGAGACTTCCTGTAGCATAGACCTCACTTGAGTAGTCCTACCAGTGGAGACTAGGTTTTATAGGAAACCATTTGCTGAGACCGACATTCTGGCTTTTGCTCCTGAGAGAAGCAATGGCATACTGTCACCTGCTATCAAATGCATGCACACATGATGCAGGAAAAAGTAAGTGATTCTGAGAGCTAGTCCACAAGGAAACAAGGCACCCAATGGATGTAGAACAGAGACTGCAGGCACCAGGCAGAGAGGGCAGGGCCAGATGGTAGAGTAGACTTTCAGAGGCAGGAACTACAACTTGACTGGCTCCCTTCCAGGAAGGACTTTGAAGTGGGGACCAGGATGTAGGGATGCTGATTTCTTGTAGTGTGAATATGTATGTTTATGTGATGTGTGCTGAATAGGGGTAGAGATAGGTGTGTGTGTTCCTGCGTGCGCGGACGTGCGTACATGCGTGCATGCGTGCGTGTATGTGTATGTGCATTTATGGAGTATGTGTTGAGTGAGAATGTAGTATATGTCCCCTAAAGAGAGGCCTAGGCCAAGACAGTTCTTCAGAAAGGTAGAGAAGTTCGAGGTGTTGCTGTAGGGGCGCTATAAGAGATAAGAGATAATCAGGCAGAGAGAGTGCAGGCCAGCCTGAGGCACTGTGCTAGAGAAGTAGCTGGAGCCTGCTGAGGACACAGAGAGACCACTTCTCCACCTCTGGGTCTGAGGAAGCTTATAGTGCATACAGATAGAAGAAGAGGAGCCTAGAGAGCTGTTGAGGCAGCCTTTCCTAGTGAGGAGAGTTGGCACACCAGTGTATATTTGTACGTCTAGCTGAGCACACACAGCAGATGAGTTCTGAGTCACAGTGCCCCACTGGTTTCCTGCCTTGATTGTGCTGCTCACCCTGCTGAGGCACATACACGGGTCCTGGTCAGGGGTTATTTACCACATGTTGTGTGTTTGTTCTCTGGACAGATGACAAGACGTTCCAATGTGAGATGTGTTTCAGATTCTTCTCCACCAACAGCAATCTCTCTAAGCACAAGAAGAAACATGGGGACAAGAAGTTTGCCTGTGAGGTCTGCAGTAAGATGTTCTACCGCAAGGATGTTATGCTGGACCACCAGAGGCGGCACTTGGACGGTGAGCTTGGGGCCTGAGACGCCTGCCTTCTGACCCCGTGATCCTCATCCCAGTCCTAGGGGTCCTAGGATAGTATTATCAGTGCAGTGAGCAGAGAGAAGAACAGTGGGGGGACAATTAGACACAGCTAGACTACTCTGTGTTGGCTGTTGGACAGTTATTTGAAGTATTTCTTTAGAGAAGTTTTTAATACTGTGAAGAATGACTTTAGTGTGATGAGCTGTAAGAAAGGTCATTATGGTGTCTTGCATACGGCCAGTTCAGCCATGTAAAGAGAATGGAGTGTGCTGGTGGGCACTGTAGTGGGGGCTGTCAGTCTACATGGTAGGTTATATGAGGTCAGAGAAAGACCCAGCAGAGTCAGCTCTGCACACGTGTGAGGCAGCCGCATGTGTAGAGTAAGAAGTGAAACAGAGGTTAAAATCAACATTCTGATGAAGGCTCTCCTTATTGTCCTGCTAAAAGTCACAGCCCCTTTGTCACTAGCACTCACTGACATAAACACTTGCTGGTTAGTGTTTGAAAACACTATTTACAGAACGCACTCGGGCTGTGTAGAAAGCATAACTGTTAGTTACATGCACATGAGTTGTGAAAACAAGATGAAGTCATATCCTTACACACACACACACACACACACACACACACACACACACGCACACTTTCCCTCACTGTTCATACAGCAAGGTCTCATGAGGTTCTTAAGAGTGTACTCTGAGCCCCACCCAGCCTCTGAAGAACCATAGGCAAGTCACTATACCTTAGTTTTCTTGCTTGTACAGGGGAGGTGATACTCAACCCTCTTGAGCTCAATGTCATGGCTGGACCTGACCTTACCATGAGATTCCTTCAACCCTAACACAGAGCAGTTGCTCAGAACCAAGTATGCTGTGGGCTGTGTCAGAAGCACTGCTCTCTGAGATGAATTAGCTACTCACGTGTGATCCGCACTATTGCCGTGGGCAGCAGCTTGCTGCTCTGGAAGCTGGGAATACCCCTAGCCTCAGGCTCACCGTTGTGCCTCCTAGTCCTATGACCGTGGAATCAGCCTGTTCCCTAATGCCAAGGATCAACACACCAACTCTGTTAATGTCAGATTATATACAATTCCAGAAAAGACACCTGGTTTCTCTCCTTTTTTAGAGATTCCCTGTTCCACATGAATTTGTTTGTTTGTTTGTTTAGTTGGTTAGTTGTTTGTTTAGTTAGTTAGATGGATAGATGGAGTCTTGTTATATTACCCAAAGCAGCTCTGAACCTATGGGTTTAAGCAGCCCCACACCAGCCTCTTGAATATCTGTTACCACAATATTTCAAGCATATTTCCCAGACAATTCTGAGATCTGACCTGTGTTGTGTAGCCTCACATTTCCTGTCTGGTCTGGTACCTCAGGTGTGCGGCGGGTAAAGAGAGAAGACTTGGAGGCCAGCGGGGAAAGCCTGGTTCGTTACAAAAAGGAACCTTCTGGATGCCCAGTGTGTGGCAAGGTAATGTTCTACAGGGACTGTTGATGTTGGATACAAAGACCGTATTCTCTTAAGCTCAAGGTCAGAGCTGCAGGTAGGGAGCATTGTCCAGGAAGCTTGTAGGCATGTTCAGCCTACAGCAGCAGTCCCCTTGCACAACCAGGTAGCTATGAGTGTGGCCTAACACAAAAATCCTACATTTCAGACATTCACTTGTCCTAGTTAGGTTTCTGTTGCTGTGGTAAACTGTGACCAAAAACAACTTGAAGGGGAAAGAGTTGCTTATAATCCATGATGAAGGGAGGGCAGAGCAAGAACTCAGTCAGAAACTGGAGGCAGGAAACCATGAAGGAGTGCTGCTTACTGGCTTGCTCTCCATGGTTTGCTCAGCTTGCTTTTTTACAGCACCAGGACAGCTAACCTAGGAGTGGCACTGCCCTCAGTGAGCTAGACCCTCTTACCAGTAATTATCAAGAAAATACCCCACAGACTTGCCTATAGGTCAATCTAATGGAGATACTTTTCTCAGTTGATGTTTTCTTTTCCTAAATGAGGCTAGCTTGTGTTCAAATTAACCAGAAAATCAACCACCACAATGAGGTTTACTTTTTGGCTTTCAATTCTACTTGTAATTCTGAAGTGTTAACTTTGTAGACAATACCATGTTCCAGTGTCAGAAGGTTAGAGGCACCTGCCAGGACAACAGTGTTCAGGGACTCCTTGTCTGCACCATGTGTTTCTTTATGCACTGAAGAATCTCTCAGGTTGCACATTCAACATTTTGGTCTCTGCCACCTGGGACTGGTTTCCAGTGAATCCGCTGAGAACTTTTTTATCCTATCTACTCTGTGGGACATATTGTCCTCCTGAATGACTGGATATTGTCTTCATATCCACATTGAAGAGGCGAGATGCCCTGGGGCTTTATGCTGTCTGTGCTGGCCACCCCTGCTCAGTATCTAGATAGTATTTTCCAAGTTAGTGTTTTCTAAGGTAGGCTAAGTATTTTTATAGCTTAGCCCATGGTAATCAAGGTTAGGTTGTAGATACTAGGCATTCTTCCATGGGCAGCCTGTGCCGTTGTATAGGTGCCGCACATGAGCTACCCTGGCCTTGGCTCATGTCTGTGGTGCAGGTATCCGGAGCTCCCAGCCCCTGCCCTGGCTGCCACATACACATTGCCCCATTCGTCACACACGAGCACCTGCTCTCAACTGGAAATGTCATTGCTTGTTCACTAGACTCAACTTTGACAACTCAGGTAACTGGAAGTACTAGTTGTGTCTCCAGAGGAATAGAAGTCATGTCCCTTACTGCACAGAGCGCATATTGGGGGACACAAGTTCTAGAAAGGGTCCTCTGTGCAAGTGCACACTAGGGATATAGGTTCTTGAGAGGCTTCTGTACATGTGACTCAGGCCTCAGGTGTTGTTTCAAGAAGGAGCTACTGCTGAGCCTGTCACAGCTACACACCATAGCTACTGGTGTACCATAGCATTGGCACCCAAGCACCAGCACATTGGAGCCCCTCATGGCTGGCTACTCCTGACTGAGCATGTAGCAGCACTGCCAGATCCAGTGGTGCTTTCTAGAGGAAATGAGAAACTATGCTTTCATGGTATTTCTTGGCTTCTTTCAACCCACAGAGCAAGCCATAGCCCATGGATCAGCACAGTAGCAGAACCATGTGGGGCCTCTTAAACTCTGGGCTTGGGGGACAGGAAGGTGGAGCCTATGGCAGTAGATTAGTAGGCTCTGGGGCACCCCATCTGAGGCAAGCCCTGCCATTGGATGCTCTGTGGTCAGTGGGGCTCCTTGGTCCCTGGCGATGGTTGCATATCTGTGTTTTAGACCACTCAGGGTTCACTTTGGCTGTTAAGTGACTCCCAGAGAACCAGTGTAAATACATGAGTAAATCTGCATCCATTGTCTGTGCTGGAAATAGAAAGCAACATGAAACAGATTCAAACTTAGTTGAGTGTCTTCTTCTGTATCTATTTTGAGAAAATTGTAGATATACCTGCATGGCTCCTCAGTAGGCTCTGTGCCAGTGAGCTGTCTAACTCAGCATAAGCACTCTGCTGCACTCCCATTGCACCAGTGTGTCCTCTATTGTGGTGTGAGTGGATGTCTAAATCACCCTAAGTCTAGAACTTGCCATGTATTCTAGGCTTGGAAGTTGATTGTCCTGTGGGCCGTAGGGATCAGCTCCTGTGTATGTCCAATAACCAGCCCTCCTATACTGGCTCCCTCTCCCCAGGTGTTCTCTTGCCGGAGCAACATGAACAAGCACCTGCTGACCCACGGTGACAAGAAGTACACCTGCGAGATCTGTGGGCGCAAGTTCTTCCGAGTGGACGTACTCAGGGACCACATCCATGTCCACTTCAAGGTGCAGGTCCCATTCAGGTGGCACTAGGGGATCTGGCCTACCCTAGTACCTAGATGAGGCACTTACCAGACTGTATTTCATAATTCTGAAGCTGAAAGTTCAAGATGAAGGCGCTGGATAGTTAGTTCACTGTCTATTGAAGGTTTCCTAGTCCGTCCATCACTCTCTTGCTGTGTCCTCACATGGTAGAGGGATGAGACTGTTTTTGGAGTATTCCTTTTAAAGGTTATAATCCTACTCATTGGTATCAGACCCTGTCATTCCCCAGAGGCCCTGCTTCTTCATTGTCACCTCAGGGGTGAAATTTTAACACGTGGGCATTGGCAGTCTCTTGATACAGACTTACACTAGCGCACCTGTTTGTCCAGCTCTCGGGCCTAAACACAGATTCTCCCTGTGCGGGGCCTGACAGATTACTCTTAACCTGGGATTTCCCCAGAACAATGGATGTAAGGAGGGTGGCAGTGTGCTGCCTCCCTGCCTTTAGGGTAAATATAAGCAGTGCAGGAGCCCCAGGATGTCGAGAACTGGGTGTGAGGACAGGTGGGAGAAGTACTGTCTGAGTCAAAGGCCCCATGCAAAGAAGAACATAGACCAGAGCAGTATTGCAGCCGTCTGGGCTGTCCTCCAGGACTTTACCTGAGCAAAGGTGGGATTGTGCTGGACAGGTGGCTCTGAGAGCTGGTGGCTACCTGTACCACAGAATGGTCAGGCCCAGTACCATCCCAAGGGACATAGCATAGCTCACTAGGCAAACAACTGATTTCCTGAAGTGATGACCAGCATACCAGTTCACTGTGGTAGAGACCGGGCTTGTCACTCTTCTGTAGGACATCGCGCTAATGGATGACCACCAGCGGGAGGAGTTCATTGGCAAGATTGGGATCTCCTCAGAGGAGAATGATGACAACTCTGACGAGAGCGCAGACTCTGAGCCACATAAGTATAGCTGCAAGAGGTGCCAGGTACTCAGCACTCTGCCCCAAGCATGGTTTCCGGGGAGGAATTTGTGATCATGGAGCTATGGGGAACTCACAGCACTGTTTTGTCCATTTCTTCCACTGAAGAAGGTTGTCCCATATCACCTGGACTTAGGGATGGTAACCGTGGGCCTCACCCATCAGAACCCACTTGTGGTTTGCCACACCCATAAGCAGGACTACTTACTAGGGTAGGGCCACTGTCTTGGGAACTGGCCTAAGTAGCGTCACTGGCCTCAGACTGGGGGTGCCTTGACCTATTCCTCTCTTGGTCCCAACCAGCCTGAAAGTGACTCATGCTACACAAGGCAGGGTGCGTGCTTGCAGGGAGAATACTAATTTCCAAGCAGTCCATGACCTGAGTTTCCAGAGCCTCTACTGTTAAACAGCAAACGTCTGTGCACATCCCCCTACCCCTCTCTGAGCCTCTCCAGGTGTCTAGCTGATACAAGTGTAGTGTAGGTAGTAACAATGCCCAGGAACGGCAGTGGGTCAGCGGCCTCCACCCTGTGTTCTTACAGCTCACTTTTGGCCGTGGAAAGGAATACCTGAAGCACATCATGGAGGTACACAAGGAGAAGGGCCACGGCTGCAGCATTTGCCACCGACGCTTTGCACTCAAGGCTACCTACCATGCCCACATGGTCATCCACCGAGAGAACCTGCCTGACCCCAACGTGCAGAAGTAAGATTCTGTGCGGAAGAGGGGGACTCTGCAAAGCCACAGTGCTCAGCTTAGCAAATCACAGTCACTGGGTCACCTTATGCCAGATATTTAGGACACCTGCCCTTCCTCTGGCCTCCTAGGCCCCATTGCTCATGCTCATCTTTTTCCTCACAGGATTCTAACAGTAAGTTATGTTGGCCTACTTAACAAGCAGCACCTTTCCATCATAAATAGGTTTCATTTATGCTGCCCCATGTCAAAAGCCACTTCAGGGCTGTGTAGTGAGCAACAGGATGACTGAGTTCACCTCTCAGGATTGCTGCAACCAAGTACCTCGTATGTCTTAGTTCTGGAGCCTAAGATCTCATATCAAGTATCTCAGGGTTGGCTTCCCCTAAGCTCTCTAGCCTGGTACATGGCGTCTTCTCTGTGCTCTCAGCTCAGCCTTCTTTCTGTACATGTCCATCTCGTGTCCCTCTTCTTAAGGATTAGGGTCAGCATGGTGACTCCATTTTGATCTTTTCTATAAATGCCTGTCTCCACATACAGCTGAATTCTTATCTAGGACTTCAACAGCAATTTGAGGGACACAGTTCAGCCCATTGCAGAAGCTAAGATCACAACACCTTTTTGCCTCACCTCCATTGATAAAGGAACTTTCACACTTGCCCCTCACAGCTGAGGATACCCTCATAGCAGATAAGGCCTTCACAGTGGCTGAACCCCTCAGGTGATGAGCCCCTGGGGCTGTGGAGTGCCTGAGGTTTGCCTCTACTTTCAGGTACATTCATCCCTGTGAGATCTGTGGACGGATATTCAACAGCATCGGGAACTTGGAGCGCCACAAACTCATCCACACAGGTAACATGCTCCTGTAGTGATGTTTGGTACCAGCTCACCTTCCCCAGCAGCAGGATTTCTCCATCAATCTCCCTGGCTCCATACACAGGCAGCCACCCCTTGGCTGTGTCCCTGTCTCTCCAGCTTTCATCCTGGCCTCCTCTGTCACTTGCAGCACATCTTCCCGACCCACCTGTGTCCACTCGAGGTCCTCAGGGCCTTCTTGTGCCAAAGACTCCCATGGAACATGTCTGAAATGCCAGCCCACGTGTGCTTCTTGCTGAGACCTCTTTCTAGGCAGGCCAAGGCTCTCAGACACTGCTGTGTTTGTTTATAGGTGTGAAAAGCCATGCCTGTGAGCAGTGTGGAAAGTCCTTTGCCAGGAAGGACATGCTCAAAGAGCACATGCGTGTGCATGACAACATCCGAGAGTACCTGTGTGCCGAGTGCGGGAAAGGTGGGTGTGTGCCAGAGCCACAGGGGACCCCAGAGGCATAGGACACCCCAGGCCACTAACATATTCAGCCTTGTACCCAGCTTGCTTTGGACATAGACATAGTCTGTGCCTACAACCGAGGGGGTGGGGGTGGGGGTGGGGCGCTGCTAGGAGTCATGAGTCTTTTTGGCAAAGGAGGTCCAGGGTCCCAGGTATAGATGGGAATATTTCTCAGAATCACATCACACACCATAGAATCATCCACAAGACATCTGTAGAGCCTGCAATAAAAGCTGGGTGTTCCAAGTTGATGATGTTCTATTGTTTAGACAGGGTCCGTGTAGCCCAGGCTGGCCTCCAGCTCCATGTATAGCCAAGGATGACCTTGGGTACAACCTCTCTCCTCAAGCCCCTTTGTGCCTGGTTCTGCCTAGCTCTTCCTTCTCTTGCCACATACTATGTGGGTTCTCTGATCCCCCAGTCTCACTTAGAACAGAAGCCCTGTGAGGCCAGGGAGCCCTGTCTAGCATACCGCTTGGTTTCTAGTCCCTGGCACACAAATAGTCAGAGCATAGCAGTTACAAGAATGACTGAAACCATGAATAGGTGTTGGAACTGTGAGGATGAGGTTTGTACCAACTGACTGCAGTCCCTTGCAAGACAGACAGACAAGCAGTGACAGAGGGCAATGCTGGTGCCACTGTTTTGAGCAGAGCCTGATGTGATGGAGACAGGGCCAGAGAGGGATTAAGAACAGTTAAAGAATAGTCTGTTGGGTGGCCAGGCTTTGGCTGAATCTCTCATCACCTATGGTTTTTGTCTTTGGGTGGTGAGAGATATATAATATTTTTAATATGAGGATTAGGTAGAGGTGGGAAAAATTGCTTTTCCATAGTCAGAAAGGTTTGGCACTTAACCTAGCCAGGGACTGGCAGCTGAGAGACACAGGGTGGGACTTATGCGCCCTCTGCTGGCTCTGATTTGTCAGGCCCTGTGGTCCAGCTGGGTTGCCTGAAGTCTCTCCACACTGAGAGACAGGTGAGGATGAGCAGTAACGAAATGGGACTGAGTGGGCTATTGTCTAGCTGAACTTGGAGCTGAGAGGGGTCTTTGGGCCTCCTGCTCCCACTCAGTGTGAGAGTCTGCTGGCTTGTCTACCGGAGGTTCTCAGGACTGCACTCTTGCCTGCTCTGATGTGTGAACACTCTGGGTATTGCTGCTGCTGTCAGTGACCACTGCTGTTCACCCAACTGGGTTGTGGTTGGTGAGGGTGCTTCACCCTTTTCTCATCATCACCCTGAAGTCAATGAGATTTTGGGTTATTTCAGTGCCTAAGATTGGCTGCAATAAGTTAAAAGGATCCATTTGGCAAGACAGCTTAGTGGGTAGAGGAGCTTCCACATAGGTGTAATGAGTGATCCCTTCACCCTGCTGGGTGACAAGAACTGACTCTGGAGAATTGTCCTCTGACCTTGAATGTTCCCCCTACACACACACACACACACACATTTTCAAGACAGGGTTTCTCTGTATAGTCTTGGCCATCCTAGAACTCTATAGACCTGGGCTCAAACTCACAGAGATCCACCTGCTTTTGCCTTCGGAGTGCTGGAATTAAAGGCATACACTACCACTGCCTAGCTAAAAATATTTTTTTAAAGAATGGCTTTTTTTTTTTAAATGTAGCTCTAGTGTCCTCATTAGTTATCGTTTATGTCATCGAGATAGACATGCTGTCCACCTCACTATATCATCTCAGGTGCTGTTGTTGACACACTGCCATTTTAATGTCACAGTAAGTCTCTAGTGGCCTTCTGAGGTGGTAACTTTGTGGATTCTGCATCTGGTAAAGTGGCCTCACCCTCTGAGGTGAGGCCACAGTATATCCCCCCCCACTTCTGTGTCTGTGGCTATTGTGCCCACTGGGTTCTGGGGAGTGTGGCGCTCACACTGATCTTCTCCCTGCAGGGATGAAGACCAAGCATGCACTACGCCACCACATGAAGCTGCACAAAGGCATCAAGGAATATGAGTGCAAGGAATGTCACCGCAAGTTTGCACAGAAGGTCAACATGCTCAAGCACTACAAACGGCACACAGGTGTCCCAACTCTTCAAAACCACATGGCCCTAGAGAGAGTAGTGACACAGGGAGTTCCTCAGGGCTTCCTCTCTCGGCTCCTAGCCCCAGGCTTGTGTACTGTGCTGGCTGTGGTGGGCTGAGGCTGTGCATCTCAGAGCTTTCTTACTCCATGAGCACTGTGACCCTGTGTATACAAGTAGAAGCCCATTGTAAATGTCTGTGCCAGAGATCTTTTTATGAGTTTGCCAATGGACCCCTGGAAATCGTAGCCACTTACTGGGGAACTCCATTTCTGCAAAGGATCACAAACCTATCCCAATCCCACTGTCATCAGTGTGAGATCTTTTTTTTCCATGTTTCTTTAGTATCCCCCCCTACTCCGTAGCCCTGGCTGTCCTGGAATCCTCTCTGTAGACCAGACTGGCCTCAAGCTCACAGAGATCAATCTGCCTCTGCCTCCTGAGTGCTAGGATTAAAGACATGTACTGTTGTCGCCACCCCCCACCCCTGGCATGTTTTTATTTTTAATAATAGCCATTCTAACTAGGAGGAGCTGACTCCTCATTGGAGTGTTGGTTTTCATTTCCTTGGTGGCTGATGGTAGTGAGCATTTTTCATATACTTGTGTCTATTATAATCATTTCTGATTTTCAGCTCTGATTGCTTGTTTCTAAAATGTTGGCTTGTTATACATTATTCACATGAACTGTTAGATGACTGGCTGGCAGATGTCCTCTCCCATTCTGTCCATTGTCCCCTCACTCGGAGCTGTTTCCTTTGCTCTCGGGAAGTTTCATGGTGTGATGTACAGTTTTGCTATTGTTTCCTGGGCTTTAGGGCTCATTTCAAATAGCATTGATATACCAATGTCTTAAAATGCTTCTCCTAAGTTTTCTTTTAGTGCTAAGATATATTTAATCTTTGATCCATTCTAAGTTGATTTTTTGTAGAGGTTAGAGTCAAGTTTGAAGCTTCTGCATGTAGACATGCATTTTTCATTGCACTGTTGTTGAGAATCAGTTGGCTGTACATACATGGCTTTACCTTAGGATCGATTTCGTGGATGTGTGTGTTTGTTTCTGATGCTAATACTATTATGGTTTTATACTTAGGACTTTATAATGTCTTGAAACAAGGTACTGGTACCTGCAGCTCTTTACATTTTGTTCCAGGTCATTTCTGTTATTTCTGCCAGGCTTTCATTCAAACTTGAGGATTGTGTTTCTGATTCTGTAAAGAAGTCTTTGGTGTATTGCACTAAACCTGTAAATCCCTGGGTTGAGCCAACATTTTAACAGTATTCATTCTTACAGTCTATGAATGTGAAACATCTCTCCAGTTTATAGTCTATGAATGTGAAATATCCTTCCAGTTTTTGGTGCTGCAGTGGTTTTTGTCATGTTTACAATTTTCATTGTAGGAACATTTCACTGGTTTCTTTATATCTATTCTAAGTATTTGTTTCTTTGTAGCTAGTATGACTGGAATTGCTTTCATGATTTTTAATTTAAAATATACTTTAAGGCAGGAGATCATAGAGCACAGCCTTAATCCACAGTGCTCAGGAGGCAGAGGCAGGCAGGTCTCTGTGAGTTTGAGGTCAGCCTGGTCTACAGGGTGCGTTTCAGGACATACAGGGATACAGAGAGAAACACTATCTCGAAAAATAAAAAAATAGAGTATACTTTTTTAAATAAAAAAAAAATTACTTGTATTTTGTAATCTGAAGCTGCAGAGGCATCAGGCTTTACAACCTGTGCTCTAACACCCCAGTGCTCCTGAGGTGCAAGATGGACATGCGCTCTCTGTTGGAAAGCTTGGGGCAGCTTCAGGGGCTGCACTCTTGACTGCTTTAAGTTTACTATTACCTGAAGGGATCGTGTGAATTTGAAGGATATGCTCTTCCACTAGTCTCTTGATTGTCTCCTTTCCCCAGTGTAGACATAGTGTGTGCTTTACGTGTGTGCCTGTGAGAGATTGTGTGCCTTTTGTCACGCTTTGTTGTGTGTCCGAAGACTTGAGCACAGAATCCCTGTCCTGAATATGATAATTCTTCTCTTTTAAAGCATTTGCTAAGTGTCCAACCTGAACTTCCCTACTGACTCTCAGGATTTTTTTTTAACTTAGTGTGTATTCACTGTACAAAATGACAGGCTTCATAACATTTTTATACATGCAGATGATGTATGTCATCATGATTTCTTCCCCGGCAGATATAGTTTGTTGATGTATAATTTTAATTTCAAGAGGTTGGCCTTGAATTCCTTCTGTAACTAAAGATGATCTGGAACTACCGATGCCCCTGTCTCTGCTCTCTGAGATCACAGGTGTGCGCTGCCACAGCTGGTTTATGCAGTGCATTGGGTCAGACCCAGAGCTTTGTGCTACATGCACACTTGGCTTACACGGCCGCATCCTTAGTCTTCAGTGTTTTGTATGTACATTTTTGTGTGTTGGTTTTTTTGTGTGTGTTATGTAATTCTCCTCATTATCAGTTCAGAAGATCTTAGGGGAGTCTTCAGGCTTTCCCACATGAAGACATGCTGTGTACAAATAGGGATGATTTGACTTCTCCTCTTCCTGCATTTTTTGTTTTTTTGTTTGTTTGTTTCTCTCTTGCATAAATGCTGTGTTAAAACTTGAGGTGCTATCTTGATGAACAAGCATGGGAACCGATACCTTGTCTCCTTTCAGACTGTAGTAGAGCCTGCTTCAGTGTCTCACTTCTGGTACAAAGCTGGCCGTGGATTTGCCATGCATAGCCCCATACTGACGTAATGACCCTTCTGTACCAGCTTTGTCTGTGTTTTCTTTGGAAAGGGCATTTGATTTTATCACATACTTTTTCTTCATCGACTTGAGACATGACCGTGAGGTTTTTTGGCCCTTCATCCTGTTGATACACCATATCACATTTGTCGATTTGCATAGATTGACCCGTCCTTGCATCCTGGGATGATTCTGCTTGATCATGTTCGTCCCGTTGGTATGCTGGTCAGTAGTAAAACCTTCCTGGTTCTTTGTGTGTCCACAGAAGCTCTGCTGTCTCTCATGGAGACGTCTCCACTCTCGCCTTGGGTCCTGGCTTTCTGTTATGTTTAGTCTCTTACTGCATGTCCAAGAAGCTGCCTGAGGCTTTTTGAGGTTACGTAGCGGGGTGTAGGTGAATTACACTGCCTAGAGAAATTGTTGCTGTCTTCGCCATTGGGTTTTCCTCTCTACATCTGTGTTCTCAGGCCTTCACAAATCTTGTCATTTTTAAAAATATGAATAAAGGCCTAAATTTGAAGCCACAGTTTTCTGGGTAAATTTTAGAATAAATACTCATTTTTTTTTTTTTTTGACAATTTACCATTACCCTGAGGTACTAAATATCCTGAAGCATGAAGAGACAGAGATGTCCTCTGTGTACACTTACACTGAAAACTCACTAAGCTTGTGATATCGAACATGATTTTTCCTGCAGGAATTAAAGACTTCATGTGTGAATTATGTGGGAAGACATTCAGTGAGAGGAACACAATGGAGACACACAAGCTCATCCACACAGGTAACTTGAGTCTCAAGGATGGTCTAGGCCGTGCAAGTATGCAGAGATGAGAACACCTGCTCTGTTTCATAAACACTTGCAGAATAGGACTGTCGTGGTTTAACGCAGCTCCTTGGCCTCTAAATCCCACTGTGCCTTTCCAGTATCCATTCTTCAAAGACCATGATCAGTTGTTCTTGCTAGTCTTGGGCCAGTGGTATCCCACTGGTCTGACCAGGTGATGGCTCTCTCTAGAGGAGAAGAGGTTATGGTAGATGCGGTGAATGAAGCATTAGTAGCCCTCTGTTAACTTGCGTTTCTCTTTTCTACGCCATTTACGTGTGTGAGAAGTAGGCAAGCAGTGGACTTGTTCCGTGTGTGACAAGAAGTACGTCACGGAGTACATGCTTCAGAAACACGTCCAGCTCACCCATGACAAGGTGGAAGCACAGAGCTGCCAGCTGTGTGGCACCAAAGTATCCACTCGGGCCTCCATGAGCAGACACATGCGGCGCAAGCATCCCGAGGTTAGCCTGGTGGGGACCCATTCCCAAATCTCCATAGCATGACCTGGCCCTACTGTGGGCTCAGGCCCTACAGTGGGGCCTCCTGTGGCCCTACCGCTCTGCTTGGGACACCTTTGTCCTGGTGTGAGTTTAAGGTGGAGCCCTAGTCTTAACATCTCTAAATTCTATCATTTTTTTTCTTCCTAAGACAGGATCTTGTGTAGCTAAGACTGGCCTAGAACTCACTATGTATCTGAGGATGCCTTTGAACTTCTGATCCTCCTACTTCCAACTCCCCGAGTGCTGGGATTGCAGGCATGCACCTCAACACCCAGTTTTATGTGGTTCTGAACCTTGAGCCCAGGGCCTCATGCATACTAGGCAAGCGCTCAGTCAACTTGGCCCCAGTCCAACCACCTTCTCATACCAAAACCAGATAAATAAAGTTCTATTTTTGCTTTCTTCTACTGAGCAACAGATTTAAGGGCTGTTGGGGTGAGGTCAGATGTGTAGTCTTCCTCTCAGTCTTGCGGTTGTTTCTCTACACCTGGTTTCTTTGGCAGCTTACCTTTCATATGCCTTCCTGGGACGTTCATTTTCTTCCCTGTGCTGTGTCTGTTGCCGTGCATAGGACTTAATTAGTCTCTGGTGTGAGATAAGCAATGCGTATGAGCAGCTGATGAGTATTGCTCACCATGGATAGGACAGTGGGGTTGGTGCAAGGCTGTGTGGGCTCGTAGAACAGGTCATGGTGTGGGTGACACAGGCTGAGCACCCTCTTGAGCAGGGCTTAATAAAGGAAAGGTAGGACTAGGCCCTCACTGTGTCACGAAGCTGACACACATGTAGCTGCGTGCATTATGCCGAAGGGTATAGTGTTTGACCCATAGAAACCTCCTTTTGGTGGGTCCTTGTAGGACAGGCTTATTGCTCTGTCTTAGCTCACTCAGCTCCCTGTGATGACAGAGGGTACACTGATACCTCACTGACAGCACATGTCATGGAGGCCACAGAAAGAGGAGGTAGCCTCCATCTGAGGACAGGAACCACATAATAACAGATACCAGTTGTCCCCACCAGGACAGCTAACACTGCAGAGGCTTGAGATGGGGGTCAGAGGACAGGGTTGGGGGATGCCCTAGAGAGCATTCTAGAAATAGTTTCAGTCAGTCCTGAGCCTAGGAGTCAGAAGCAGAGGTGAGTTTGTTAGTTAGCAGCCAGTCTCCTATAGCAGTAGACCTTGCACAGTGAGTTTGGGTTCCTGCTGTGTCATCAGGGCAGCCATTGGGTGGGCACAGCCCTGTTCACTGCTTTTGGCCCCTTGCAGGTCCTCGCTGTTCGGATTGATGATCTAGACCACCTCCCTGAGACCACCACCATCGATGCATCTTCCATTGGCATTGTCCAGGTAAGCAGCATAGAACACATTTGCAGGGGTGGAGTGTGAGGGGAGCAGAATTCAACACACCAGGTGGACCCTAAGGGAACAGACCACATACAGGAGCAGGCTCCAGATGTACCCCGTTGACCATGATCAGACATCAGCATAGTCTCACTGGGATTTGGTTGTCCTTCTTCCAGAGCCTTATAGACTGTATCTTAGTTTTATTGTAGTAGCTATGGATTCAAATGCTCAGGCGCTGGTGCATATATCTTCAGAAAACAGGTAGTTTGGGGGATGGGGGCTAGAGAGATAGCTCAATGCCTAGGAACACTTGTTCTTTCAAAGGACTAGGTTCAGTTCGCAGCACCGTATGATGGCTCATAGTTATTCATAACTCTAGTTCTAGAGAATCCAGTACTGTTTGTTCTTCTGACATCTGTAGGCATCATGGTGCACATACATGGTACACATACATGGCTCACATACATATATGCAAGCAACACTCATATAAAACAAACGGGTTGGGATTTAGCTCAGTTGTAGAGCACTTGCCTAGCAAGTGCAAAGCCCTGAGTTCAGTCCTCAACTCTGAAAAGAATGAAAAAGAACATATAAAACAGACCTAAACTTTTTTTAATTGATTATTTCTAGGAATTTTATTATGATTATTAAACTTAATCATATTAGGCAAACCTAGAATTTTTTTCTCTTTTTAGACAGGGCCTCACTATGTGTACTTGGCTAGCCTGGACCGCTATGTAGACCCATTGATTTTGAGCCCATGAGTTCCTCCTGACTCTGCCTGTAGACCCATTGATTTTGAGCCCATGAGTTCCTCCTGACTCTGCCTCCCCAGGGCTGGAATTAAAAGTGTGCACCACCGCACCAGTCCAAACCTAGATTTTTTTTTTTTTTAATTTATTTTATTTATAATGAGTACACTGTAGCTGTCTTCAGACACACCAGAAGAGGGCATCAGATCCCATTACAGATGGTTGTGAGCCACCATGTGGTTGCTGGGAATTGAACTCAGGACCTCTGGAAGAGCAGTCAGTGCTCTTAACTGCTGAGCCATCTCTCCAGCCCCCAAACCTAGATTTTAAAGGAACTTTTACTCAATACTTTTTTTTTCCCCCCAGCAGGATCTCATGTAGTTCAGGTTGATCTTGAGCCTGCTATGTAGCCAAGGCTAGCCTTGAACTCCTAATCCTCCTGCCTCCTGCCTTTACCACTCAAGTACTAAAATCCCATGTGCACCATCATGTCTGGATATACTCAGTATTTTTTTAACAATTTTATTTTTAATCACAAAGAGTGTTTTATGCTGTCAGTGTTTAAATCTGTACCTGAGTGCTAATGAGTGCCCCCATGAGTTCAAGTGTCCATGTCTTATGGAATGAATGGGTAGAATCCACACATAGCCTTTCTGTGAGCCATTTATGGGCTTGACAGTTCATAGGTGAGGGTGGGAAAGAAAGTTTCTCCAACACCATACTTTGGCTAGTTAGTTGCTGGTGGATCTGTCTACCCTAAGGAAGACAAGTAGGTGTGACCACCCTGCCCCCACCCTCTAGCTCTGATCACCCTGCCCCCACCCTCCAGCTCTTATCACCCTGCCCCTGGCCTCCAGCTGTGCTGGTCACAGGCCGTCTTGCCAACACTCTCAGTGAAAGGATAAGCCTGCACAGAAAGCAGCGGAAATTGCCCGCAGAGTTTGAATCAAACATTTACATCCAGTTTCCCACTGTGGCAATGGCTCACAAGCACTGTCCTTGATCTGAGTTCCCCAGGAGGGAAATATTTTCCTTTAAAGATGTCTCTCTTTGAACACAAAGCCACTCCCTATGACAACTTGATGCCCTGGGGCTATATCTAAGGCGGTGCATGCTGCCCTGGCCCCCATCCAGATGTGACCCACTGCCCTGGTGGGTACTGATACCAATCTCCTCACAGCCTGCGCTGGGCCTGGAGCAGGAGGAACTGGCGGAAGGTAAGCATGGAAAGGCTGCCAAACGCAGCCACAAGAGAAAGCAGAAGCCAGAGGAGGAGGCAGGGGCTCCAGTGCCCGAGGACACCACCTTCAGCGAATACCCGGAAAAGGAGCCAGAGTTCACAGGCAGTGTGGGTGATGAGACAAACTCTGCTGTACAGAGTATCCAACAGGTTGGTCGGTGCCCTTGTTTCCATCAGGTGACGGCCACCTCTGCAGGGGCAGCTCCTCCGAGTCCTATCATGTGTCCATATGGGTGTGTCCATAGTGGGTCCTGCTTTCACCCTCACTTTCCATGTAGTCATTACCTCATGCAAATTGTGCCAGCTGTGACCTCCAGATCACACATGTCACTTTTAATAAGTGTGACACATTCTAGTGTTGAAAGACTAAAATACCGTTTCCGATTGGGTGCACTAAGGGGCCTACCAAGAAGAGCCTGGACAGCCACCAGCCCCTGAGCTGGCTTCTCTGCACAGTCTCTGCTTGGCTTCGTCTGTATCACTTGACATTTGAAACCCCGCACCCATAAGTGTGTCTTCTTTTTGGAGATGATGATTCTGCAGTCAACCTGCTTGGATCTGTCTGACATTCAGCACTAGGTTTGAGGAAGTTGCGGCTGTGGCTGCCTCCATAGCGACACAGGGTTTTCACATGCTATCATGCTATTAAGACAGGCAGGTTGGGGTGGACGATGATAAAGCGTTGGTTTCCTGGCTTTTCAAATTTGCTCTGGGGTAGATGTTTGTGTGTGGGGGGGGGGGGGGGGGGGGAGGGAGGGAGGGGAAAGAAAGC